CCTGACATACTGAAGCTGTTATCTTTGGGTCCTAAATTTGGCCTTCAACCTTCGTTCAAGGACTACTCAATTAGTAGAATCTTAGCAGATGTTGAGAATATTTTGTCTCATGCGGACAATTCCGACCTTCTATCTCTTAGGTCATCTTCGAACAACATCTTGTTGAATTTCACTAAACGCCCTAGGCAACCCTTATCAGAGTTAGATAAGATTTACAGGGAGACGGTATCGTTTTTAAAAACCCACCCTAATCTTCTCGTTCTTACGAGTGACAAAGGTAATGCTACTGTCCTTATGGACAAAGATCAATATTTCAGTTTGAGTAAATCACTGTTAGATGATGATAGATACTATCAACCACTATCTTCTAATCCTTGTTCTAAATTCACAAATAAAATAAATAAATTTATAACACATTTAAAAAACATTAAGATCATAGATCAACCTTTAGCTAAGTCTTTACATAATTATGATGGATATGCTCCAAGATTCTACTGTTTACCTAAAATACATAAACCTACGTTGAGCATGAGACCTATTGTGTCATCTATTAACTCACCTAATATTAAAATAGCTAAATTTCTAACAGACATCTTGTCTAAATCATATAATTACAACAATGATTTCAACATTGTTGATTCTTTCAATTTTAGTGAATTTATTAACAATTTTCAACTACCTCAAGGGTACATTTTAGTAAGTTTTGATGTGGTATCTCTTTTCACTAACTTACCTTTGTCCAGTGTAATTACTTCCTTAAAAAACCATTGGAATTCTATCAAACCTAACTGCCCGGTGTCTTGGGATATATTTGCAGAACTGTTACAACTTGTGTTTGACACTAATTTTTTAGTCTTTGATGACAAATTTTACCTTCAAACATTTGGTACACCTATGGGTTCCTCAATCTCTCCCATCCTAGTTAACTTTGTATTGGATGATTTGGTTTCTGACCGTTTGGGTCTTTTGGATTTTCAAATCCCTTTTATTAAAAGGTATGTGGATGATTTATTATTAGCCCTACCACCTGACAAGGTTCAGGGTACCCTATCCCACTTTAATGAGTTTGATCCTCATTTACAGTTCACTGTTGAACTTGAGGACACTACCACCAATAGTATACCCTTCCTTGACATGCGTGTCATCAGAATGGGAGATAACACCCTAACCACAAGTTGGTATAGAAAATCAATGGCCTCTAATAGGTTCCTTAACTACCATTCCTGTCATCCTATGAAATATAAACTAAACCTGATAAAAGCTTTAAGCTTTAGATTAAATAAATTGACACATCCAATTAATCGAAGGGAATCCTTTAAGTTATTGAGAAATATTCTAATAGAGAATTCATATCCTTCCTCTATCATCAATAAATACCTTTATTCACATAGTTATGGATCCTCAATTTATGACATACCCGATGGTGACCAACTTATAAACATCTCTAATAATTCTATAAATAGCACTGTTCTGCATAATACCGATCTTGAGAATACTATCACGCATTACTCTTCCTTACCATATTTCCCTCAAGTTACTGAGAAGCTTATTAAATTGTATAAACAAAATAATATACCTGTTAAAATTGCTGTTAAGAATGCAAAAACTGTTAGAAATTTGTTCTCTAAAACTAAAACACCCTTGTCCACTTTGGAACAAGTGAACACAATTTATAAAATTCCATGCGCTAATTGCGATCTTTGTTACATTGGGCAATCTGGTAGATCATTGAAAGGTCGTCTCACTTCACATCGTAGCGACATTAACTTATCGAAACACACTTGTGCTCTAGCACAACATGCGATAAATACAAAACATGAAGTGGATTTTAATGAAGTTAAGATTCTTGCCACTGAACGCAATCTAGCGAAAAGACAGTTTTTGGAAATGTGTTCAATATTAAAACATCCTAATGCATTGAATAAGAGAACTGACATAAGTAACTTGAGCCAGATATATCATGCTTTAATTTTGCAGAATTAGGCTACTTAATCTTTTCACTACATTAATGTCATATTAGGTGTACTAGTTGAACTTTTTTCCACTTTTCATAAAATAATTTACACACATAAATAGAAATAAAATAAATAAATATATCAATTAAATAACTTAATTTCTTTACTTAATTTTACTATTACATATGCAACCCATATTGCATTTCATTACACTAAATTCTTTGATTAGAGTTTTAAATTATATATAAAATAATACAAACATTGTAATTGATTCATAGAATCCTTTACAAATCACAGCTCCAAGTATATTGAACCTTGGGCTGTATGGAAATTATAATATCGTTAATCACCTGACTATTTAACTTGCCACATGATTAACGTCATTACATTATTATGAGTTTGAATGCAAATCTCCGGTTTGTAAATTTGGGCCGGTTAGTGAGGGGAGTTGTGTGTACACTACCAACTTTTTTCACTGTTGTTGTCCTTTACAACCTGGTAGTCATCCAGACTCAGTTATAAAATAAAAAAAATTAAATTAACCGCCCAAAATTCTGGGTTGGTATTTACACCTTGTTGATCTGTCAAAAGTAATTTTGACCTCAAGGTTGGCTGTTTTTTTGCGGTTAGTTCGTTCCTGTTTCATCTAACGCCATTTTCACGGCGACATCCATAAGGCTTTGATCGGTAACTTCATATTCACTATTTTGTAGAATTTTATTAATATTACTTATAATGCTACCTAAAGTTAAAATCAAAGTTTAATATCCATTAAATAGTTGGAGGTTATTTATGATTTTCTTGGTTCTTTCTCACTTATTAACATAAATAACATTGAATTTATTTTGGACCACATGGTCAATTGCTGTGCTAATTTTTGTACAAGTTCATATATGTTGTTAGTTGCTTAACTGTTTATACAAGATCAGCGTACTATGTCCATTTACTTAGTTTCATTCACATATTTGTTAATAACATTGACTGCTACATATCTTTTTAAGGTAACAATTAACATCGTTTCCATGATTGTGTGGTTCTCATATTGTAATAATTTTTTAGATGAACTGATGATGCTTTCAAAACTCGAAAGCGAAACGTCTTCAAAATAGATAAAGTAGCCTATCAACTTTGTCTTTTATTTCTCCACCTAGAGACCGATATAAGAACCCACCACTCGTCTGAGTGATCCTTATATATATATATATATATATATATATATATATATATATATATATATATATATATATATATATATATATATATATATATACATCCTACTATCATTTTGGCATCGATACATTATGCTTTTACCATCAATTTAGCATCGTCTTGCAAAGTAGCATCTGTATATCGACGCTACTTTACAAGACCTTAATAACTTTTTTCCTGTACTTGTTACAAGAATTTTAACCATCTCAATGATTAGAGATTTGATACCGTGTTGGTATTTTAAAATGTCCGCTTTCTCTTTTTATCCCTTACTGAGTTATATAAGTTTATTCCAGGAAATGTTTGAGTCTAAAATGATGGTACAGTGAAAATATTATATATATTTAGTTCAGGGTTTTACCGTTTACTCGCTGCCATTATATACATGAAAATGTATATCGCACTTTCATTATCAATCATTTTGGCATCAGAAATTTGGCATCGCTGTTGAATATAATATTACCCACAACGAAATGGTAAATTTAAGAATTTATATATATTTTTTTCATCCATAAATCATTCTAGCATCTTGTTTGATTAAAAATAACGGGTTATATATTGGGTATATATATAACCCGTTAGGGTCTTTTTTCAAAAGGTCTTTTTTCAAAAAATCGATAAAAACAGTTTAAAAACTTTAACCTCAAATTTCTCGAAACGATTTCTTTAGTCGACCGATTTTGCTGAAACTTTGCACACTTCATCTTTATAGCATTGTTTCGTGATTGAATGAAACTACTTTTGCATCTTGTTCATCATTGTTTTATTTTTATTGTCAACTAATTTTAAATTTGTTTCACACTTCTTCGGGATCTTCTAGTTTTTGTAGTTTAAGATTAAATTCCTGTTTAATTAATTTTTTTATTTCTATGTTATCAAAATAAAGATTGTTAGTTTTTTGTTTTTGTTGCCTTGCTACTTTTTCAGGATAATTACACGAAGAGTTCAAATATCGACTTCCAGTTATACTTTTGGTTGCGTTGGGTGAAAATTTAAGGCTTACAAAATCCAATTGCTTGTTAATAATTATTTTTCAAAGAGCAACAATAAGTTACAAACGCTAAAAGTGATCACAGTGTATGCATTCTTTTTCCGCCAGAGGTCGACTTAGATAAAACTCATACCGAATACATAAAATTTAAACTCTTGCGGTGTATTGGTTCTCATTAATGGCGCGTTTACACGGTGCGCTTTGTCGTGCAACGTGCCAGATGCATCTAAAGCAAGATATCGCACAAAGAGAGGTAAAGCGAGAAGCAAGCCTATTGCACTCACATCACACTGAAGGGGAATCCTTTTGTCTCATCGAATTTTACAATTGTTTTCATTGTCGATTTGTTTTACATTGTGTGACTTTTTTCAAAAGTTCTTTTTAAAGATTAAATGAAAAATTCAAGGCTGTACAGTAAGATCAATATTATGGAGTAATTTTTTTAATTTATTATTTTTTCCTTTTCTTTTTAATATTCGAAGTATTTAGATAATTTTAAATTACCTCGCAAATAATTTCACGTTGTGCAACTTGGAGGAACTGAGGAGACCTTGAATTTTCTGAAGAAAACAGTATGAGGTGTGCTGAACTTCGCAAGTTGACTCCAAAAATAGACAAATAAGACATATTTTTAATGTCAGTGTAAATAGCAACAGGCAAGTTAGGAAGAACATCTCTTGCCCCTTGATGTAGGCAACAACGCACTATCAATAGTACCGTGTAAAGACGCATTAACGGCCAAATTTGAGTAGTTTTAAGTGATTTTTGTGTTTTTTAAAATTTGTTTATATAAAAATAGTATTAAAAATGTATTATCTACTACAATTAAAGACTCCTATATACTTTTATTTTTTATTTAACTGATGTGTTACAGTTGTATTAAAAGATTACATAAATACGAAAATAAAAGTTATTCTTAAATGAAGATGTTATTCTTATTAATTATAAAATGTCCATTTCGCAAAGATCAACAATAAATATATAATTATACAGAATGTTCTAGATTTTAATACTGCGATTATTGGAATTACGACGATGCTCTTCGTTCCATCACTGTGCAATGTAAAAGAGGATATTGTATTGTTTCGAGAACACCCTGTAGACTACACGCAAAAAGACGTAACAGTAACAAAGTTGGCTAACTTATTTGTAGTGTCTGGAACTTCTTCGAAATTCCATTGAACCTGGAAAAAACAATTCATTAATTTATATAGAACAAACATGTTTTATATTCACTTGCACTTTATTCAGCAATTACATGATCATAGTATACAGGCTCTATTTAATATTCTTATTCTATTAGCTCGTGGAAATGAGAGAATTTATAATGCATTAGTATAGATTTTAGTGTCCAAGTAGATTAGGTTTATATTGGTACCTTCGTACTTTAACCATGTATGTAGACTAACTTTACCGTGACTCAGTGTTGTTTGTCGAATATGTAATGCCTTGAAAAGCATCTTGACAAGAAGCGAGTATCCCAGTCTTTTTCCTTTTGTTTTAGATAAAATTATAGTTATAGTGTACTAGTCTCTAGTAGTGTGTAATGTAGTGATATATAGTGTAGATTGTTTTTTAAACAAACTGATAATGTTAAATAACTTAGTACCTTACTCTATCTGTGTTAATTTTAGTGCTTTAATCATATAACACAACTCTTTTTCTTCTACCTTTCATATTAGAAAATTCTGCCTGTTTGTTTCATCGGTTCCGTTCTACCCGGCCGCGATTTGTCGTTTCCTATCTTTCTGTCATTCTGCTTATTTGATTGTTCCATTCTATCTTTCTATTTTGTATTCACTTGCCTATTTTTTTACCTTACATGTTGTTCTGATTACATCACTTCTTGTTAGATCCCTCAGTGTGTTCTCTGTAATTCTTCTTTCGTATTTGCATTTCTGTTGTCTCTAGCATGCCTTTTGTTTTGGATATGTCCGATCTCGTTTCAGCCGTGTATGTCATGATTGGTCTTATAGCCGTTTTGGAACACAGTTCTTCGTTGTTGATATGCTATGGATTTAATGGTCATTCAACTTTAATTATTATTGTTATTATCATTTATATATTAGTCATGCCGTGACACCTAGTCTAAAGCAATAAAAAAAACATGGTGGTAAAACCAACAATTACATATGCATCAGTGGCCAAAGGTGCAACAAAAAAGTGCTATCCTCAAAGTAAGCAAGGTGCAGACTTGCCTGCCTCGGAATTCAAGCGACTATAAGGGGCACACCAACGGCAGCTGGAGGTCCATACTGCACTTCTCTCCTTTAAACATAGTTATAAGCGGTATACGATATTATAGACTGCGAGAAAACTTGAGCAACTTAACGGTTAGATTAGAACACAGTAATATTATAAATGAAATCAGGGATAATGTGAATACTAGGGTATAGAAACCACTGATGTAGGAGTGTTAGAACTCCTTTAATTTATTCTTTCGGAGATAGATTTAACACATTGTTTAAAGAATACGTTTATTAATAGCACAACTACATTACTTTTTGGTTAACACAAAATATTGTAAATGAAATTAAATGTGTCGTGTGTTCATAAATAATTTGCACAAACAATTATTTTATAACAATGGAATTATTTAAAATCCCTGTTCCTAATGAGGGAGAGGGACTTACATAGTTCACAATAGCGAATGGATGATGATTTCTGACCATATTGTATCCAGATACCTCCCTAAAGTACCTTTCCAAGTAAATATTTGCCCACCAGAGTAAAAACTCGACCCAGACAGCACTGTTATATATATCCGGTGGTACAAAGAGGGGTATAAAACTGCAAAAGATCGGGTGCAGGAATATTCAATAGTGATGGAAATTTAAAGATTTCTATTTCACTATATTTCAAGTTTTTTGCAATCTTGCAGTGTGCACGAGAAATTAACATGAAGGCTTTCGAACTGAAGCGGATCAATAAATGCAAAGATAGCCAAGCTGCTATAAGGGTTCTTCTAAGCACTAAGGTAGACTCTAGGCTAGAATGGGAATGCCGAGAGTAACTTGACAGACTGGCGGAACATAACAGTGTCAATGAAAACATAACTCTCACTGGGAAAATATACCATACATAGCACCATAGCAACCTGGATATGAGCGGACATATATTGAAGTATTGCAGGAAACAAGCAGGAATCTTGCATAGCTGTGAGGCATGAGATCGTATTCAGCAAATCCTTTTCCGAAGTAAAAGACGTAATGGCAAAATACACCGAAGAATATGGCAAAGATCCAGTTAGTGAAGTTACGACGGAGATAGGTGAGAGATTGTAGCATATACTGAGCGTATCAAAACCAAAACGACGGAGTGAGATATTAAGTAAAATGAAAATGATTTCATGCTTAATGAAAAGCAGGCTTGGAATATGATAAAAAAACAACGGTGATCCCACAGAGATAAAACAGGCATGTGCAGTAACACCAAATCAGAAAGCACACCAACTGCTGCTGAATGGTAAAGCAAACCACCGATGTAAAGCACCGAAAAATAAAAGAACGTAAGAACTGGTAACAACTTTGTTGTGAAACGCATTTACCACCGAAGAACTCAAAAAGAATATGGGCGTCATAAAAAATGGATAATTCCTTGGGCGGATGGAATCCTAACGGAGCAGATAAAACACTTCGGGTCAAAACGAGAGAATGGGTGCTTGACATATTTATCAACTGTCGGTCTACCTACCAGATCTCAAAATTGTGAATAATCAAAAGCCTGCTGAAGCCGGGAAAGAGCTTAAACTACTGAGTAGCTACCGTCCAATATCTCTATTCGAACGCTTTATTTTTAATCGCATCCAGGAACAATTAGATGCAAAACTAATTCTGCAGAAGGAAAGCTTCAGGTCAAGTAAATTCTGCACAGGCCTAGTACTGAACTAGTAACAGAGTACATATTATGAGGGATTTGAGTGGAGAGGGATAGTGGAGGTAGCCTTGGTAGATCTCACGGCGACATACGATAGCCATAGCTATATAATATACGCTTCTACGTTGTGCTAAATGGAAAGAAAAGCAGATGGCAAAGTAAAGAAAAGCAGATGGCAAAGTAAAAAAAAGCGTACCTCACGGGAGCGTTCTGGTCCCGTTACTATTAAACATATACATGAATGACCAGCCAATGCACCCTTAAGATGAGAGCTTTGTATACGCTGACGATCTTGGTATCGCTGTAAAAGGGAAAAACTTCGCACAGATAGAATCGACAATGGAAGAGGCTTTAAATATGATGTCACGCTGAACGTATCCTGGGAGGGATAGCACTTGGTCAATACTGACAGACCCGAATATCTTGGAGTCATATTTAGATCAATAACATAAATACCACTGTTAAGAGTACAAGACAAAAGGTTGCAACAAAAAATAACCTTATCTGGAAACTTATAAAAAGCAAATGAGGAGAAAAACGAGGCCTTGTGTTTCTCAACAGGAGAATGTGCCTGTCTCTATTTAAACGAGTTCGAAGAACCAGCCTGCGTAAATCAAGAAAAAGGTTTATGAGAACTTTTAAAGTCGAATCCTCCTAATTGTTCCTCCTACACCCACACTCACCACACGGAATAGACCTGGACTGGAGAATCTGGCGGAGACAGAACCCCATACGCAACGGCGTTGCCCCTTTAAAACAAAACCTAATTAAATGGGGTCTAAAGACAAACAGATATCGACATACTCTGTGAATGAAGGGAAATACTGAATGTGGAACACCTGAGAGTATGCAGACTTTGTCCATTACAGTACACCCTCGATAATTTATGGCTCGCAAATACAAAGGCAGTAGACGTAGATCTGATACTGGGCAGAAAAATTGTAGTTGGATCCATATTTGAAAGAGTAAAAAGTAAGTTATCTTTTAAATAAAATGGAACACATGTTTTATTCCCATCTTTTAACAGCTAGACTCAATACCTGATTGTGTATTTCTTCTCTTCTTCATGTATCATGTCCTTTCAGAACGTTGATTACCATCAAAACTATCTTAATTTTACTCACTGCCACTTTAGTAGCAGGCTTGTATTGTACCATACCAATCTCGCAATTGCAACACAATTTGCAAGACAATTCACGTCTCTGTTACGTAATATTTTGGAAAAGCAGCTCTGGTATAAAATGTAAAATAAATTTGTCTCCTCAAACTCGGACATTCTAATTGTGTTCATAAATGTCTTTAGACAAATGACTGTTAAAACTTCTTTTCTTCTACCTTCCGTTCACTCACTGAAAATGTATAAAATTCTTGCAATTGTTTAGCTTCTAACTTTTTGTAGACGTATTAAATCAAATTTTTAAAATATGACCGACAATATCCATTATTACTTGTTACTTTAATTTGCAATTAATACTAAAAATGTTCAAATTCACACCGAAAGTTAGGTTTTGAAGCCGCACCAGGATCTGCGACAGCTCTAGTCTGGATATAGTATAATACAAAAATTACTTAGTTTATTATACCGTATTGTAGGCAAGGAAAGAAAAAAAATCATCTTATTTGAACTGATAGCACAGTTTTATGGCATAAAATTACAACAGTTCTTATACTGGATTACTTACTATTAGAACAATTATAAATATCAATACCTTGTTACCCCAGTTTTGTACAAGACCTTATATCAAAATGTGATTTGCAAACAGTATAATAAAATTTTAGTAGACATTTATATAAGGGACTTGTTGCTATCAACAAGTTCTCGTATACACTTTGTCTCAGGTCTAGCAGCCTCCAGTGGAGTCGTATGTTGCCATGTTATCAATTCCTATTGTAACTTAAACATCCTAGTATATAAAATCAAATAATGTAACTCAAATTCAATTTAACAACATTTAAAGGGTTTTTACTAAAGTATTTAGTGGCACAAAACATGTACATCCAGCTAGCACTGATGATGGAATATTAATTCCGAAAATGTTCTGCGATCTAGCCCGATATAGTCTAGCTAGGTGCCAGGCGACATACTGTATCACTCATAAATAACAGGCTACAATTTTCAGGATAGTTTTATAAGACCTCGACCCCCCAAATATCTCTTGGGATACTTTCTGTACCAGGTGCTTTTTCTCTCCAGCTTATCCAAAAGTGGTCATTTTGAAGTGGTGTATCAAATTTATTAATAACCTATTGCAGTTTAATCAATACAAAAGTCGACTTCGTGAAATATCCGAAAAAAATCTAGTCTGATAAAAATTTTGGTTCCATAAGGGAGTCCACCAAACTAAACATGCCAAAAAAAACTTCAGAAAATTTAGTAATAACAAGCTGATTTTCTCTGTATCGTTCAAAAACAACGTGAAAAATACTATTTTTACATTGTCCGACAAAATGTATTCGCCGATTTTTTCGCCCGACGATGAAAATAGGCTTTTCCACGAGTCTGAAAATTTATTAATAACTTTCAGACAAAAAAAAAAAAATTAGATTTGTGAAAGATTTAGATACTAAATGGAATATGTGTCCGACAAATATAATGTACCTAAATTGCAGTCCGACAAAAAATTACAATTTTTTTATTTATTTATTCTATATAAATTTTAGCTATTACGCAAACCTTAAATTTTATTAATAACCGTCAGACAAGTACAAAGTTCATTTTTTAGATACTTTTTTAATGTTTAATACTATTGGCGGACAAATCAAATTGTGCGGAAGCGCCCATGAAAAAGTAGTTATTTTTCGAGCGAAATGCAAAAATTCGCATTTATTAAATCGAGTTATTGAGAAATATGCGCATAACAAGGAATACTGGTATTTAAGTAAGTATCTACACTAAGGGCCATCAAAACAATGGTGGTAATATTTGTTTTCTGTCAGTGTCCATCCACAATTTTCAGGTTTTAAATTTGTTGGCGATCTTAAATGTGTATTGCATCACACACATATAAATAGTTTTTTTTTTAATTTGTTGCCATAGCTCTTCTTTAGATAGGGACATACTTGATCCATCGAGACCTCTTAACCGAGCTTTTATTAACATTTTATCGTGATTTTTGTTTCCAAAAGCCTTCTCGAAAAGCTCAACTCGCCCCATGTCGTCATTGCTTTTTAAGGAATAAACTTTACAAATAAATTTTTCAATGACTTTAAATATTGGGTTTGAAGTATTAATTTCAGATGGAGGGATTCTTAAAAGATCCAGAAAGGCTACTTGGTATCTATAGTTTTTCTCCAAAATATCAAATGGTCTCTTCTTCCCTTTTCTATAAAATGCAGGGTTATAGTCATTGCCAGTAAATACATGACATACTGTTAGAGCATGTGTCATTTGCTCTCCATAATTTTGATAAATATTGATATTAAAATATTAATTTTTTTGTTAGTTGGCATATCTATAATTACTTCCACATTAGATTTTAAAAATTCCATATTGGATAACATAATTATAGGTAAATCAGAATCGATACAACGAACTGTCACTCGGTAGTTCATGTTAATCTGTCAAATATGGTGTACAATCTTTCTATTTGCTTCTTCATGTATACAAGATAAATTATAATCTACAGATCTCTTCATTCGATTGCTGAAAACTTGATACACGTGACAAATTATCATAATTCAATTTTAATACTTTTCCTTCCATATTTCAGCAAATTCATCGTTGCACCAGTCTTCAATGAGAAATGCCACAAACTTTAATTTATATACACAATTTCAGCGAAGGGTACGACGAAATACATCCTATTTATGAATAGGATGTATCTACAATTTTAATGCTCACACATTCTATAACAAAGTAATCTCGACTGTATGTTTTTGTAATTTTTAAATAAAAGGCTCTATTTTTTTGTCGGACAATTCATTCATTAAGTTGTACTCTTCATTTAAAAACTAAAAATCATAAAAAAAACGTTATTAATCAATTTCCACAGACTCGTGGAAAGTCGACTTTTGTATTCATTAAACAGCAATACGTTTTTAATAAATTTGATATATCACTTCAAAATGACCACTTTTTGATAAGCTGGAGAGAAAAAGCACCCGGTACAAAAAGTACCCCAAGAGTTATTTGGGGGTCGAGGTCTTATAAAACTATCCTGAAAATTGTAGCCTGTTATTTGTGAGTGATACAGTATGTCGCCTGGCACCTAGACTAATAGAGTGTTTTAATATATACGTTTTATATAGGATTTTTAAATAAATTTGTTATATAAAAACGTTTTCATGCACTTCAATGGTAAAACCTCCTTGTCTTCTGGTCTTTGTATTTATTACATAAAAAATATAACAGCACAACCCAATACAAAGTTTATATACTTTACTACATTCTACTAATCTTACCTGAGTATTGTTTATTATTCCAATCATATTGCTGATTTTGATTATTGCTTGGTTTCGCATTGTTTTGCGGCACTGGTAAACAATCCGTTTTTAATATCTCTTCGATATTCCCATATCCTTTAAACCGAACAGCAAACGTTCGAGGAGTAATTGAAATTACTGTGGCATTGTAATACTGAAAGAGACATTATAAATTTATTATAGGAACGGAATATCTCATATTTAGATTTGGAAGTCCAATTATACGATTTAATATTGGATTGAACGTTTTATTTTTAAAGAGAATATAAATATCTATTCCCAAATATCTAAACCTTGCTTCCTGCTTTATTATTTTCCCATCAATTTCGATTTTACACCGTAGTGGGTATTTAGATGTTGTCATACATTTGGTTTTGTCTGCTGATATTATCATATTGTATTTCTTAGCTGTTGTATTGAAGATATGTGTTAATCTTTGGAGCTCGTCTTCTGTCTCGGCGTCGTCTGCATAACATAATATTTGGATTTTTTTGTTCCCCATTCTGTAGTCATGACCTTTACGTAATGCTTGTATTATTTCGTCCATTATTATATTAAAGAGAAGTGGGCTCAACGAGTCACCCTCTCTGACTCCGCTTTGTACTGGTATACACTGTGTTAGTTTTCCATTTATCTTTCCTTATATTCGATTTTGGAGGTAGATGTTTTCGATGGTTTATATGATATTGATTGGTATGTTTCTTTTATACAGTAGGTGTAAGACGTCTTCGAACTTGGATGCGATCGAAAGCCTTTGTCAGGTCTATAAAACATAGATATGCTGGTTTATTGTACCCGATGACCTTTTCTGTGATTTGTCTTAGTACAAATACAGTGTCTAAGCAATAGCTTCCGGATCTGAATCCCTGTTGTTCATCTGATAAAGTTGTTAGTTTATTGATTTTATTGGTTAGTACTTTTATGGTAAGCTTAAGTGCGGTGTTCAGTAGATTTATACCTCTATAATTGTTGGGGTCTTCTTTGTTTCCTTTCTTGAACATTGGTATCATTATGCTGTTTCTCCATGCGTCTGGTATCTCGCAGTGCAATATTAGTTTTTGTATAAGTTTTGTCATCTCTAGGGTTATACTTTCTCCTCCGTATTTTAGAAGCTCGTTGGTTATTTCGTCTGGTCCTGGCGACTTTCTATTTTTGAGCGAATTTAAGGCTATTTCTACTTCCTGAAAACTGATTTCTATTTCGTGTCTTAATTGAGGTACGTTATTGTGCTGATTATTATTTTCCTTTGCTTTGGTATATATATATATATATATATATATATATATATATATATATATATATATATATATATATATATATATATATGTATATTATTTTGTTTTGCGTGTGTGATAAATGCAAGCCCACTTTCTGAACTTTATTTAATGTTTTTTTGTTCGCTCAGGTGTAGTAGATCTTCGTTTTTGATGATGTTAGGCCAGAAAATACGAACAACTCGTCATAGACATTTATTAATAAAGACCTGCGGTTTATCTGTAAGGGTTTTTGTCCTTTCCAGGTTTCACTTCCGTAGAGTAAAACAGACATGAATATGAACATTTAACTGGAATATGCGGATCTTTGTCCTTGTAGTATACTCGCCAGATCTCCAAATAGGGTTGAGCATGCTAAATGCTTGTTGAGCTTTTCGTATCCTCATACGATATTATATATATATATATATATATATATATATATATATAACTAGTTACGGAGAGTTGAGGAAGAAGTAGACAACAAAGCTTAAAAGGAAGTAAAGGGGCGGGTTCCCTCCGCCGACGGATATATTAACATACACGGCGGAGACAAGACCTGACACATCTAAAACGAGACGAATGCTAGAAACAACAGAGATGAAAATACTCCGACGAATGTCAGGGAAAAGTCTATTGGATAGGGAGAGAAGCGAAAACATAAGAAGAGCATGCAATATAGATGACATAAATGGATGGGTGAAAAAACGAAAATAAGAGTGGAACGAACATATCAGTAGAATGGCAGAGAAAAATAGTACGAATAGCACGAGATAAGTCACCAAATGGACGAAGAAGTATTGGCAGACCAAGAAAAATATGGTGCGACAATTTATGAGGCTAATATCGAAGAAGAAACAAGCTTTAAAGCCGATATACTAGAAGGAAGAAGAAGAAGAGAATATAAATATGCTGTATTTTATATCGGCGACCGTTCCATACCACATCATTTACGAAGGAGCTCATACAATCACAGATTATTTCCGACCAGTTCTTTTTTAACCGGTTTTTCTACAGCCAATTTGCTTGCTGTACATTTTCCATTTATTCATGATACCGATTTCTGAGTTCTAGAACTCTGTACCAGATTAGTATAGGTCTAGTAGATGGATACCATATGTTTTTGGAGTCACTTGGTAGTCTCCAAAAAGTATTTGCACGCAAAGAATTCTGACTTGATCTACTCCTTATTGTAATTCGTCATAAAATGTTTTAATGTCACCTTATCATTGTGTTCTTAATCTTCCTTGACTTCTTCGTTAGAAAGAAGTCAACGAAGTTGATATTTGTGTCGAAGTTGAACGAAGTTGATATTGTGGGCCTTCCCGTAATTCATTCCGTAATTCATTCATATCCATTCAAAGCGTTGTGATTTAATTATTCTCACTACATTTTTCGTTTTCTAACTCTCACTTTCTTTAATCTTCTTTCTCTATATGGATTGATGTCATGTCCTATGATTATTCTTATTATTTTCCTTTGAAGCCTTAAGTTTTATTCTTCTTTTTTGTTCATCACTGTTATTTCCAATGCGAATATGGTAACTCACTATCAGTGTTTTGTAAATATTTCTTTTTGTTTAGTTTTCTGTCTTAAAGCATCTTTCTGTTTATTCCGAAGGTTTTGTTTCCCTTTACAATTATTTATTTTCCAGTTGTTCTTATAATCACTCGCAGGTAGTTGAATGTCGTTACTATTTCAAATATAAAATTGTTTATTACTTTATTATTTACACGATTTACTCACATTGTGTCAAAGGCGCTGTTGAAGTCATTAAATACTGCATAAATGTCTTTGCTCAGTAAGTACTGCATATATATTCAAAAGATTTTTCTAGAATTTATTTTTCAAATCAAAAACAAAATTTTATTAATCTCTATTTTCTGCATAGTTTTTGATTTCCTTAATTATTATTTACCAATATTTTGTATATAGAAGTTGAAAGCGTGATTGGTCTTTGGTCTTTACATAAGTCTTTCTCACTTTTGTTCTAGATAGGTGTAAGGATTTAAGTGATTCATTCATTTCTCGTGTTGCTTTGACATTTTGTCCTTAGTATTTCTTTTTGTCAATTCTTGATTTGACACTTTATTTCTTTCTACCCTTTTCGTTCTTCAATTTTATCAATTTTTCGCATTTTTTTCATCCTATTTAGGATTTAGTACAAGTATTTCTTCCACATTTCTTTTATCTGTCCGGAATGATATTCCCTATTCTTGTTCTTCATTCCGCTCTATCCATAGACATGATATAGTCTGTTATTTTTTTTATAGATTTTTTTTTTAATTATTACACATTCTCATACTGTTGAATGTAAGAATGCAGGGGAAGAGACCTATTGGAAGACCGAGAAAGTGATGGGAGGATGATGATGATGACAGACCGGAACAGATGCAGAGGTTTGATGAGGGAGGCCAGGGCTCGAATTGAGCTGTAGATCCATAGGATGGATGGATGTATACAACATTATATTCTAGTGATATTTTGTCATTTTATCCTTAGTATTTCTTTTGTCAGTTCTTCCTTGATTGAACACTTTATTTATTTCTCCTTCTTATTTAGGATGTAGTAGATTTCTTCCACACTTTTTTGATATTCTGTTATCCTATTCTTGTTCTTCATTCCACTCTCTCTAGATATATTCTGTTATTTTTTTATATATATTTTTAAATTATTTCACATTCTTGGCCTTCCCATTTGTTCTGCTGCTTTTTCTATCCATATATTTATCTTTATTCAGTAAATAGCTTTCGCTGTTTCTTGCTTTTTAAAATTTGTTTTAACTTGTTTTTGCATTACATCCATTTGAGTCTTTATTCATTCTTTTGCTTTCTAGCTTCCCCACATTCTGATTGCTGATTCTGCCCATCTCCCCCTTATATTGTTATCTGCTGCTTGCAATTTTTGGTTGATTTGATTCCTATATTTTTTATATAAAAGTCTAAAATTAAATGGATGTTACAGAAAAAAAGTCAGCAATTCCTATTCAATAACATTAAAGTTTCATTTATATAGAGTAGGTCACTGAAACCAATCCACTCTTTCGCAATATTCGTAAGATTTGGTGTAACACAAATTTTTAGATCATTGGTAAAATTTTAGTGGTGTTAATTCAATAACTACTTTTGAATAAGAAGACTTGTTCATATTAAAAAAAAATGGAAAGTGACTTTTAACATATTTTAAAATATATATATATATATATATATATATATATAATATATATATATATATATATATATATATATACAGGGTGGTGAATCGACAAACGGGCCATAGGAAACTCAATGGGAAATTTTAAATTGTTGAATTGCTGCTTCCCTAATTATTTTAGCTCAAAAGTCATAAAAAACTATTTGTAGAGGACTAAATTCTGAATTAAAAACAAATGTTAAAACCGTTCTACGAATCAAATGTACTTCAAAATTTTGCAAAAATATAATAGATTTTTCAGACCACCCTTAAAAGTTAGGCCACACGTAATACAAGAATATATGTGTGTGTTTTATCATATTGATGTAAGATGTTTGACAATTTGAATTGTCAATTTTTTTTATTTAAGATTAAATTATAAACAATGAATTTTACTAAATACTACTACTACTGAACAATATTACTTTGTGAACAATAAATTAAGTATACTGTTTACAAATCGATCAATATAATGAAATGTACTCAGTTGACGAAAAATCGCATAATGTTGTATTCAGGCAATAGCGCGAACCTTTTCCTGTCACTACCGGATCTTTATTTAATGTAATCTAATACACTAAAATTTAATTTCGTGTTAAGTAAAGTTATACAACAATTCAATGAATTCCAATATACTGTTACTGTGATCTTTATTCCTAATAATAATATATGATAATTTCTAAACATAAAACTATAACAAAGTTATAATGAAACATGAATAAAGCATTTTTATTATTGCTCTTTTCTCCTTAACTGAGTACATTTTTTAATCCACTTAATTTTTCTTTTAAATAATAAATCACAAAATTTTGGCCATTTAAATCATAGATAAATATAATATAGCTGATTTAAATATTGTCAAATATTAGAAACGTCAATATGACAAAACGCAACACGTAATACACATTCTTTTCACGGCGTCTGGCCTGACTTTTAGGGGTGGCCTGAAAAATGTATTATATTTTAGCAAAATTTTGGAATACGTTTAAGTCGTAGAACAATTTTAATAATTGTTTTCGATACATACTTGAGTCCTCTACAAATAGTTCTCCATGACTTTTGGTGTAAAATAATTAGGAAAGCAGGAATTTAACAATTTAGAATTTCTCATTGAGTTTCTTATGGCCCGTTTGACGATTCACCACCCTGTATATATATATATATATATATATATATATATATATATATATATATAAAATATAATAATATATATAAAAAAATTTAAATAATATATATGTATATATATATATGTATATATATATATATATATATATATATATATATATATATATATATATATATACATATAAATTATTTAAATTAACTTAATTTTATTTACATTAATTCTAATAAACTTTCGCACTGTTGTTGCAAAACTTTTAATTGTAGTCTTTACCATAATGGAAAATATGTGAAATATTATCAAAACATAGAATATAGAATACTCCATCGCAGTGCTTCTCTAATGATATTCCAGACATAGTATTTTACCCATTTACAATTAATGGATTGGTGAAAAGTGTGTATGTCTCATTTGCACTAAAAATCGACCTGTTTCAGCACTGTCACAAAATCATATCAATGTAGCCACTGGGTGCATTGTTTTCCGTGACCCACTCTGATTATTGTTATTAGGATTAAAGGTACAAATTTAAAGGCAATAAAAAAGTTTTTACCTTGCCATCTTCCCAATATTTGGCCAACACCTCATCCCCTATATTACATCCATGCATATTATCTTCCCCCTTCGCTGCATAATCCTCGTTTTTCTTATGAGTATTTGGATTCAAGTTTAAATGTTGCCTCAAACTTCTAGTAGCAAATTGACTATTGATAGACATTCTTTGCGTTTCCTGGGTGATATGGTTGATGTCATTTTGGTAAGGTCTAGTTGGATTTGTAGCTGATCTAGACTGACTAGGAATTTGTTGATTATGTTGATGGTTATTTAATGTTATATTTATGGTTGTATTTTGTGCATTAGGATTTTGATGGGAATATTGATTATTACTTCTATTTGGATGGGAATTTTGTACATATGGTAAATTATTAGGTTGAAATGCATTTGCTTGGGAATTATGTGGTATATACTGGGAATAGTGGGAATTGCTATTTTGATGCAGTTGATTTCTGCTTTGGTTGTTTGAATTGTAACCTGTGAAGTTACTATTAGATTGTTTTGGCTTATTAAAACTATCTACATTTTGTTTTTGTTGTTGTGCTTCATATCTGTTAATATAGGATGTTTTAGGTTTCACTGAACTGTTTACTGGTTTTTGTTCTGTTACTTCAGAATTACTTTTGCTTGGCTGATGAGAAACTTCTGCTGTATTTGGTCTAGAACTATTGGTTTCTTTATTGTTACTTTGATACCTATGGTTGTTGTTATATGTTGGTTTTTCAAATTGTTTTGGTATTGCAGATTTTTTATTTTTATGGTCATATTTGTCAAATTTGTTCATATTTTCAGACAAACCTTCTGCATCTCTAAAATTATTTTTACTGGGTTGACTCAGATACAATTTTTCCTCCTTGGTGGCTACAGGCAGTTTATCTTCTAGAAATGCAAACAAAGAAACTTTCTCTGAAGGTTTCAAAGGTTTATCTTCCACCTCCTTCATCGATCTTCCTTTTCCTTTAAATGCTTCCTTCTTTTCTTTAAACTTCTCTGGGTTTCTTTTATTTGTGTTATTTTGTAACTGTACAGTTTGTGTCACTCTACCACTAAATACTTTCCTAACAGCTCCAGAAGATGCCTCCGCAATCGCATCTTTTCTCAATTGTTCAAATTCTGAATTTTCCTTTAATGCATCCTTTTCCTTATTGGTCAGTGATTTGAAGTTTTCTCCTTGGTTTCCTGTTTGAATTTTGGTACCAAAATTGACCCATGGTGGTGGACCATCCTCATCTAAAAAATTAGTAATTTTATTTTATGTGGCTATGTGAAATAGTGGTCCAAAGTGTGTAAGTATTAATTAAATAAAAGAAGAAAGCTTCAAGAAAGTAAATTTTAAATATACTAGCAACAAAATGGTAAAAAAATAAACCATGACATAATAAAATACAACAAACCTCTAGTTAAGTACTCCAAATTCATTAAATTTTGTTTAACAATAATGTTTATGTAGAGCAGTAACATTAATTTGATATAAATAGGCCAAAGTCAATTTAAAACGTATTTTTTTATAGTACTATTAGCAAAACCAAATGAAATGATAGGATTTCGTTTCCTTTTAGTTTTACTCTTATGCTTTAATAATTTATTTGATACTTCAATGTTTTTGTAAATTTGGTGATAAATTCATTTGTAGAAAATTTTTGTTTAACTTTGAGTGAATTGTCACTATATTTCTATCATCTATCATTTGTTTTTTGTATCTTTTTTTCCAGTTATACATTCATAGAGCAAGTTTTTCTTTGACATTTACAAAACCCACAAAATTTTTTAGGTATATACAGGATGTCCCGGAAGATGGTGCGTTTCTTAACGATATGTGCCGATTGCAGCATTTAAAACAAAAAAGTCTTATAACAATTTTTTATAAAGTGAACCGTTAAAAATTTTTTTTTTATTAATTTTAATCAATTTGATTATTGTTCACAGAAAAGCAAATACAATTGACAACGTTGCGTTCCTTGTTATTCTTCGTTAATTAGTGCAAATCAGCTATCATGAATCATCAATTGTTAGGCATAATATGTATTGATACTGATAACAGTGATAGAGAAAAAGCATATTTGTTTTTATTAAATATTTCATAAATAAGGTTTGAATACTGTTTTTACTTACAATGGAAAATTATTATTATAATAAACGTTCGAAGTGACCACCATTTTCACAGATACACGCATTTATTCGACGAATTCAATTATTCTTAATATAAGTATGTTAATAATGATTATTTCAGCAGCATCAAACATTCGTTGTCGCAATTGAGCTTCCGTGTTAGTTTTATCCTGGTTGATGTATACTAATGATTCTAGATGTTCCCAAAAATAAAAGTCCATAGAATTGCATTCTGGCGTTCTGGGTGGCCATAGAACATGTCCATTTCTACCAATCCAACGGCGAGGATAAGTGATGTCGAGGAAATTTTTAATATGTCTCGTAAAATGTGCTAAAGCCCCGTCATGAAGAAACCACATTTCAGAGCGTATTTATAATGGAACGTCTTCAAGAAGTATCGGTAGAACATACTGCAAAAAATTTAAATAGGTTTCTCCATTCAATCTTCTAGAAAGTTCGTACGGTCCAATCAGATGATTACCAATAAATGCCCATAAATTTATACTAAATTGTTTTTGAAACTTTGTCCCACATATAGCATACGGGTTTTCATCATTCCACACGTGACAATTGTGAAAATTAAACACACCATTTCTCGTAAAACAAGCTTCATCTGCACACAACACTTGAACTTGAAAGAATTTCCAACACATTGGAAATTCGGTTTATCTGGCGATTTTGTTTTGAAACCATCTACAAAATCTTAATCTTATTATGGTATCTCTTAATGGTAAGGATGTTGTTCAGTAAATGTATTGTGAACAATGTTTTTTGAAATGCCAACCATTCTAGCCACTTACTTGGATTATTACTGACTATATCCAAAACATTTTTCGACAAGTTTAAATTGAAATTGTATATAAGTAAATTCCTAGAAAATTTTAAGTATAACTAGCTGTTTAATTGAATAACTTTGATGTTGAATCCTTTCTTTACTACAAAAAGTTGATGAATAAAATTAAATAGCGACAATAAAAACTTAATGTACTGATAAGGCTAAGTGGTTCCGAGATTGTGATTATAGTCCAGGAAGTTTTCTATATTTGTTCTATATTTTAATAAATAAAATAGATACTGTAAAATATAAACTGTGCTTGGTATGGAATGTGGTAATCTAACAGCATCTGAAGTTAAATGCATGCAGTTGAAAACGAAACGTAACCTTAAGTTTTTCTGTGAACAGTGTGAAGTTGGATTTCAGAAGGTACCAGCTCTGTTAAAAGAAGTGAGTGAGCTTAAGGAAAGTATAAATAAAATTCTACATAAGGAAAATGTCGCATCTTTTGCAGAATATTATTTCTGAAATGATGTAGAGGCAAAATAGGACTTCCAATATAATTATATTTAATGTTAATGAATCTGTTAAAAATAATCAATCGGATCGTAATACAAAGGACAAACAAGCGGCACTAAATATTTTGACTGATTTTAATATTAACAAAAATAATATTAAACTATTTAGATTGAGAAAATTTGCTAACAGAACGAGACCCATTAAAATAGTATTAAGTACAGCTGAAGATACTAAAACTGTTGTCAAAAATAAAAGATTAATTAAAGTGCCCGATGTCAGAATTTCATTAATAATAAGCCTACAATAGTGAAAAAAGACATAATGTTATCTCAAAAAAACTAGTAAGTAGTCCCAGTATATTATTTAATATAGATGTTTTATATTTAAATGCACAGAGCTTGTTAAACAAAATGGATCAAATCAAGTTAAATCTGCTGTGTTATTGTCCTAAAATAATAGTGGTTAGCAAAGCTTGGGTTGCAAGTGAAATTGAAGATTCTGAAATTGCTTTGTGTAGGTATAAGGTGATATTCTGCAATTCATCTAAACAATCTACAGGGGGTGTTGCATATGTTCAGGATAACCCTAAGTGTACTGCCGCTAAAACTTTTGTTAAAGAAGATAATTTTTGGTGTAAATTTATTAAAGTAGATATTGGTTCTTACAAGATTGTTTTGGGTGGCATGTATCATTCACCTTCTAGTTCTGATGCAGTGTTTTTAGATAACTTAGAACATATTTTTGATGAATTATTTAAAAGTAATGTTAATTGTATTTTAATTGGTGATTTTAATTTGGATTTTTTAAGTACTAGCTTCTACACCCAGAAAATTAAAGCAATGTTTTTACAATGTGGCATTAAGCAGTTAGTAACAGAACCTACTAGAATTACGAATTTTAGTGAAACCTTAATTTAAAAAGAACAATATTATTTTGATAAAATCGATAGGTATAAAAATAACTCTAGACTTATGTGAAAAACGCTAGCAACACTAATTAACAATAATTGTCAAAAATTCCCTTATCACATTGAATTTAAGGTTCAGAATCAGTTATGCATTCTGAGTGACAAAGTTGAAATGGTGCGTCATGGTGAGTATTTTGTCTCCAGTATTCAGCAAATTGTTGACACTATCGACTCTGAAGAACTATGGAGTTATGATAATCAGAATTTGTATCCTAGTTAACATGAGTTTCGGTTACTGTCAATGAGTGACTTGGCAGTCATGGTTAAGTTGTTAGATAATAGGAGTAACATGAATGTAATACTAAACTCCAAAATATTAAAAGAGTTTTTTGTAACTTGTGGTCACATTATCTTAAATTTTATAAATACTTCTCTTAGATCATCAAAAATTCCAGATTTATTAAAAATCTGTACAGTTGTTCCAATACCAAAAGTTAATAACATTATTAAGGCGGATGAATTTAGACCTACTTCTGCCTATTGAGAAATTACTAGAATTGGTAGTATACGATCAAGTCATGGATCACATTGATAAAAATGAAATCTTAATGAATACTCAGTCCGGTTTTCATAAAAAGTATTCATGTGAAACTGCACTGCAACTTTTACTTTGTAAATTCAGGTCTGAATTGGACAATGATAATTATGTAGTAGTAGTAGTATTCCTTGATTTAAAAAGAGCCTTTGAAACTATTAATCGTAATATACTTCTCACTAAATTAGAAGGCTATGGTATTGGAGGAAATGTTCTTGAATGGTTTAAAGATTACTTATTGGATGAAAGTAACAAGTGACGATTGATAATTATTACTTGTTCTACAATTAGTGTTAATATTGGTGTACCTCAAGGTAGTGTCTTAGGACCCCTTTTGTTTATATTGTATTTAAATGATATAAACTTGTTTGTTGAATGTGATTTCTTTAATTTCTATACAGATGACACCCTATTTGCATGTTTTGATTCAAACTTAGAAAATGCTGTATCTAAAATGAATTCAGCATTGCAGTCTGTTAATAAATATTTAAAGATCAACAAACTAATGTTACATGTGTTAAAGACAAAGGTTATGATAATGACAACTAAATACAAATACTCAAATATTGATATTACTACTAATCTTCAAATTGACATTGAAAAAATAGAAATCATCACAACAATTAAGTATCTTGGTTTTAAATTGGATAATTTATTGTCTTTTAATGACAGTTTTAATTACATATTAAAATATTTCTGAAAAATTATACTTTTTTTCAAGAATATCTAAAAATTTGTCAACTGCAACTAAAATTACAGTTTTTAATGCAATTATTCAACCTCACTTCGATTTTTTGCTCATCAGTTATTTCTCTCTTCAATTTAAATAAATCAGCCCAGTTGCAAAATTGACAAAATCTTGGAATAAGAATCATTCTTGGTGGAAACAGATATACATCTATAGCAACAATGCTTAGTGTTAAAGATTAAAGATTCTAATATTAATACTTACTATAGCTCCTACTAATTTTTTGAACATTTTTCGCAAGCTCCCACTTTTCAATTAAATTGGCAACTTTACCTCCTAAAACTTTACAATTTTGTGGATTTAGTAATAGAAAACCAGACGTGAGTTTAGCTCCTTGAACTAATAGCTTCGTTCCTGGTGGAGTCGTCTTAAAATTTATTGTGCTAATTGTTGTAAGTTCTAATGCTTGAATATAGTTTTCTCCATCTGTTAGAGTTATCTTAAGCATTCGGGGAGCTGCTTGGGAATCTTCGTTAGCTTTGGGTGCAGAAATGTTTCGGATTTTGTGAATCTGAAGCACTACATTCGATGTCGCATCAATTGGAAAAGAGTTAACAATTGGGCTACATATTTCTTTTAAATCTGTCTAAAAAAGGATCAAGATATAAAAATACACACTTTCTAAACAAGCCGTTATCACTTACATTTAAAGCAAAATTATAAAGCTGTTGTTTATCACCTGTCGATACATTTCCCGTTAAAATTTCATTTCCTTTGGAAGATATATGCCTAAAAATAGGAATGAATATATCCATGAGATGTGACTAAATAATTACTTACCATTCGTTTCCTAAGATTGAAGCCATATTTATAAATACAGTTAAAAAGTGATTTGATTATTCGTTATCTCATTTCTTTATATAATTATTATATTTCTTAGAGTTTTTAAAAAACTTTAATTTGTATTTTTGCAACCTTGATTTCCATACGTCAAACGGGTTAATGACTGAAGCTTCTTCTTTTTTTTTTGATGAAACCAAAAATACACATTCAGTTTACTGTCAAGATATTCAGTTATTATTATTACGTGTTATTCATAGATAAATAATATAAAAATAATATAATATGTTATTCTTGCTTATGCTTATGCAATTAATTCAATTGACTTATTTTTTTATTTATATAGTATTTTTTTATAATAGTGTATCTTATATTTAATTTTTATTTAAAATATTAAATCGTCTGTTATGTTAATTTATGACAGCCAATTTCGCCCCCTTCTATTTTATTCATTTCTATTTTCCCAAGTTTTAAATTTACTTCATTTAAATGGTGTTTGCAATTTGATAATTGCAATTCTAATATTTGACTTCTGGGTATTTCCTAAATTGTCTTTCATATGAAATCTTTAGGTCTTTGTCTTTTGCCCTCATGACTACTCAGCGTTAAAATCATAACGTCTCTTATATTAAATAGCTCGAATTCTTAAACACTTCATTGTTTTAAATTATTCATATGTTGTCGTAATTCCGCATTAATTCCAAAAAATTTAAATTAATAGGTATTCCAATACGGTGCAAGTATCTTGTGAACGAATTATGACACATATAAGATATTACAAAGAATTGGATAAAGGTTAATTGTCAGAGGTTAAATGTCTCTTATATTACTAAAAATTAAAACTAATATTAAGAAGACCCGGACAAAATACGACGAGAAATATCTTTTCTCATTTGGTATATTATCTTTACCTACAACTTTCCTATCTGTTGCAGTTTCGCAATTTTATATAAATATTGTTGAAATATCAACACACTTTTTGCTAGTTTTGTTTCTCCTCGTATAGTTAGCCAAGATTTCGCTTACAACATGTTGCAAACACTAGATTATGGATTGGTACATTGTTGTGAACAATGAATTATAGAAAAATGAGTGTTTTTAGTTGAAATTGAAGATCGCTTGGGTCGCCCACGCGTTGTGTCAATTGGTAAAAAACAATTCTTTAAACAACCGTCGTCTCCAGACCTGACTGGCTCGGGTTACCAAACGAGATCATAGTATATGTAGAAACCAACACTATCCTTGAACTTTTTAAGTATTTTTGAGCTACCTGATGTATTTATGATGAAATAGGAACAGAAACTTCAACAACAGAATCAACAAAAAATAATTCAAAGGAATATAAACCGATGCAGAAGTCCGAATGGTGACCTATGGAACAAGAAAAGATGTATTGAATCGATAGGTGGAATATTTGAACCATTTATGTACTTTAGAGGAAGGAGAAGAAAATCTGGAAAACGAAAGAGATGAGGTAAACGGAACAGACGAGAGAGAAAAGGCACCTTGAACGATTTTTGAAGTTAAAGACCCAGTTAACAAACTAGCCAGAAAAAAATCGCTCAAAATAGATAATCTTCTATCTGAACTATATAAAGAAGGTGGCCTGATACTATAAAAGCACACCAGCAGCTTATAAAAGAAATATGGACATAGAATCCCTCTTCAGTCTCCCCAATGATTGGAGTATTGAAATACCTTGCACCATACACAAAAAAGGATGAATGCTTTAACCACAGAGGAATTACGTTTTTAAATACAACGTATAAAATATCTCCATTATACTATGCCACCGTATGGCATCATATGCAGAACAAATAACCAGGCTGGTTTCAGAGGTAATAAATCGACAATTCATCAGATTGCAACCCGAAGACAAATTTTAGAAAAAACACTGGAATATGGCATAGATACTCATCCCATATTTATATACTTCAGAGCAATGAAAAAACTATGAGTGCCAAATCAGTTGGTAAATTTGACAAAACTAACTTTTGAAAAAGTTGAATGTAGAGGACGAATTCAAGTGGAACTGTCTCAACTCTTTAAAACAAATATCGAGCTGCACCAGAGAGACCCTCTCTGCTGTATAATGTTCAATCTTGCTCTGGAAAAAGTAATACCCATGACATAAATCACAACAATCGGTTCAATATATAACAAATCAGTGTAAATCCTTGCCTATTGTATACTGATGACATCAATATTGTCGAGAGAACGGAAAACCCTATACGAGAGGCATATGTAGCACTTGAATAGTCAGCTACAAAAATAATTTTAACAATAACCAACATTTAATGAACACCAACAAAACCGGTGGCGGCGCAAGACCATAATTTTATTTGGGCACGATACATTTTGTGAGACCCTCTGCTTGAGTATAAAGACAGATTTTTTAAAATAAAAACATGTCTTATTTCATTATTAAACTTTTATTCGTGCAAAATTTAGACAAACTTACAACTAATCTAAAAATATTTAAGATATATGTAAATATTTGGGTATATTTCTTTTAAGTTATTATTTGTATCTCTTTTGTTTTTAAATTCGTTTGGCAGATCATAACAGCTTCTGTCAATAAATTGTTGAGACGACACAAGCAGGCAAGCTTGCTCCGCAACCACTTTTTTGGCAGCGTTCAAGGCTTAGGTTTAAGTAATAGGTACATACATTTTTATGGCGCGAGGCCCCACGGAATGCGATGCCGTGTGCTGTGACCTACGTCGCCCATGCCCTACGCCACCTCTGAACAAAACAAACGATTACTCCGGTTGATCATTCAGGACCAAATCGAAGGAAAACGCTAGGTCGGAAGAAAGCAACTATCATAACGGCGTAACATTAGACAATGGACAGGTGGAACGGTAAAGGAATTGCTTCATCTAGCTGCCGATCGAGAAACATTTCATCAGCTTGTTAATACGACGATAGCCAACGCTTGAAAACAAGCAATGCACACAAAGAAGAACAAAACAAAGTAGAGGAAAGGCACCTAATTTCGGACAGTTACCCAATTTCGGATACTGCCCTATCTGTCGTACCATCTACATAACGCAGTCACAATAATTATTCTACTGTTGTAGCTTAAGTAATGCATACTTCCATATTTATCTCATAATTAAGGTACATTTAGTCGTCGGCAGTTGCAACTATGTATCTTAAAACGGTCGAGTAGACTTTTCTAAACCATCGTAATTTATTTGTGTTTACAACGTTATTTTTCATCTTATCTTGTTTCAATTATACATAAAGGTAAGACAAATAGTCTGCTTTTTATTGACATGATTTTATTTAAGAAATGACCGGAAGAGGTAAAAAGCATAAATGTTGTTCAGCTGCAGTTATGAAAAAAAGGCTTCTCTTTCACTATAATTTTCAAGAAGTTTGCGCCGTGACTGCTGCTGAGAGAGGTTCACCAGTCACTGTGGTGTTTTGTATAAGCGCAATTGATGGATATGTCCGTCCCACCTTTATTCGTATTCTTCCGGAAAAACATGAAAACTGAGTTTTTACATGGTGCTCCTCACATATCCATAGCAGCATGTCATCCATCAGTCTAAATTCAACAACATATATTCACACAGTGGATTAAACATTTTATTTTGCTTGTGAAACCAACCGAAAATGATTCTGTAGTGTTTGTTTTGAATGGACACTACACTACAGTCATACAAGAAACCTTGAACTGATTGAAACTGCTGGGTCTAATTATTTGATGATTATCAGATTAGTACATTTAAGTCAAAGATTGCCTCAAGGATACCCAGCGCATTCCTAAATCCAAATTAAAATTTTCCGTGTGTGGCTCATCATTTATTGTTTGTATTTTGAGAACGATTTCCGAAGTGGAAATTGAAACGTCAATCAACGTATTTTTATCTTTAATTGTGGCTTATTCCCAGTTAATTAGTAATTAATTTAAAATGCCACAAGAAAATAGCTTCAGAACAATATCATCAGACTAATTAACATGTACCTATTCGTCGTATCATACATTTTTGATCGCTGTTTCTTCGGAATTGCTATAAAAATATTAGTCCAGTCGGATTAGACGAAAAAAAAAGGCCTAATCTTGCATAGCGAGCTGCCTCAAATTTTATTATTTTAACCTTGGGGGGGGGGGTCTGAATGCAACTGTTGCGTTAGATGCCATCTTGAATTTTAAAATAAAAAAAGGAGAACGGAGGTAAAGTTAATAATAAACGAGATAATTCGATAATTATGCTTCCCCTTTTCTTCCACTATTTTCCCCTATCTCGGAAAATATCGACTATACGAAAAAATTTGTAAAAAAGAAATTGTAAGCAATCGCATTTGCAACAATTTCTGCAACAAGTTTTGTATCTGTGGTTAACTTATAAAGTGCTAGCACGCAGCGTACAATTATTTCGTTTCAAATACGTTGTTTTTGTTCTGCGAATTTTTAAGAGCTACATAATAGTTTTACATTACTCTTTATAGTTGAAAATTATTTAATAATAAAATATGGATGGAACTGTGGGGCAAATTAACGTTGGCTCTAGAAAACGTTCAAGGCGAGATATTTTAAAAGAAGAGAAGAAAATTACTAAAAGGTAAGAACCATGATACTATGAATAACAAGATAGGATCTTCCCGTAGCTCAAAATCGGTCGGGTTCGCGCATGCCGTCATTGGAGACTAGAATTTGAATTCTTGTTAAAGTTAAATGAGATTTGTATGCATTCTGTGATGAAATTACTAGACGAAAATAAGTTAAGAGGTTTAATAATTACAATAATCGTACACATAAGGATATCTCCAAACTATTTATTAAAGATTATTTATTGATATATACAAAAACTGACATTTCGAACGTGCAAGTCTCCAATGACGTCACAAAAACATGCGCAATATCTTATCTTATAGTCATAGTATCATGGTAAGAACTATTTTTAGCAATTCGATTACTAAATTTTAATATGCGTGTTCATTAAAGGTATACCAACAATGACACTGGAATGAAGAATTCGAACGTCCTTGTAGTCATAACTGGAAAAACTTAAATTGCAATTCAGTTTCGCTAGAAGAAATTAGGATACAGAAGGAAAAACTGTATGGATATTACAATAAAATTGATCAAGACCAGACATTGAGCCATTTTATCTCAGTATGTCCACCCCAGAGGAGACGTGGAAGGGATAACACAGAGGAAAATAATGTTAAACTTAAATCATTTCATGCCTTCTATTATTTCCGTACAAAAGGTAAGACAGTGCCGGTGTGTAAAAAGTTTATTATGACTGCTTTAAATATTTCTGCTGGTCGACTACGCACAGTTACCAGATTCCTCGAAAGAGGACAGATACCTAAAGAAAGACGTGGTGGGGATAGAATTTCACGAAAAAATGTTGACAAAAAAACCAAAGTTAAAGAATTTATAGCTTCAATTCCATCAACTGAAAGTCATTATAATCGCAAGAAATCTTCACGAATTTATCTGGCGTGTGACTTAAATATCAACAAACTTTTTCAACTGTACAATAATGCGCACGACGACTATAAAGTGAGGCTTACTATGTTTAAACACGTATTCTACCAAAACTTTAATATTGGTTTTAAGTCCCCAGCTTGCAATGTATGTGGTACTTGTCTTAATTTAAAGCACATTTCACGTAAAGAAACAGGTGAAAAAAGAACAAAAACGTTGACCCATTTACGAATTCATAAGTTACGTGCTAATGCATTTTACGAATTAGCGAAAGAGTCTTATCCAAAAAGCATTTCGTTCGCTTTTGATTATAGCAGGTCCATCCACTTCCGAAAACTCCAATCCAAGATGCGTTTTACTTACGGCAGATTAACTTCTACGCATTTTGTTGTGTTGGAATGAACAGTCAACATCCATCCAAGCCAAGCAAGGTTCCACTGAGGTTGGATCAGCCTTAATACACCATTTACGCTCTCTGGATTTAATAAATTGTGAGCAAATACGGTTTTTTTGTGATGGTTGTGGTGGCCAAAATAAAAATTCGTATTTAATGCATATTTTGGCCTGCTGGCTTTTAGAATCTCATGCGTCAGTCAAAACTATAATAATACATTTTCCAGTTCGAGGGCATAGCTACCTTCAAGCAGATCTCGCATTTGGAAGGGTTGAGAAATTATTGAAACGCAAAGACTTGATCACAAGTGTGGAAGAATATAATGAGGTTTACTCTAATATCGGAAATGTTATAATGTTAGGAGAGGATTGGTTTTTATACGATATAAAAAACATAACGGATGATCTGTACAACAAAACTCCAGGAAGAAAACGTTTTAAACGCATTGAACTCAAAAAGTTTCTACAAAAAACAATACTACCACCGTTAAGTACAGGGGTTCTGAATTTTATAGATTTAAAATCCAACTAGATCCATATCAATGCTTAGTAAAAAGAGGCAAAAGTGAAAGTACATTCAAGTTAACACAGCTGTCAATTGGAAACGAAATTGCGAAAGAACAGAAAAAAGACGTACAGCAATTGTTGGAAAAACAGAAAAACATACTGAGATCATAAAAAGTATCAAGCAGAGAAAGCTGGAATATTTCGGACATGTAATGAGAGGTCCCAAATATAGGTTGCTACAAAATATCATGCAAGAAAAATAGCAGGCAAACGCAAACGCAGTCCAGGACGAAGAAGAACCTCATGGTTGAAGAACTTGCGAGATTGGTATGGTGTTGATACAAGCATGCTATTTAGGATGGCAGTAAATAAAATTAAGATAGCTATGATGGTAACCAACGTTCTGAAAGGACATGGTACATGAAGAAGAGAAGTTTATTTTAATAATGAAACATGATTTATTTTTCTGTGATTTTCTGCATACTAATAAAAATTTCGTGTATTTTACCAATAAACTGTTCAAAATAATACATGTCCGTCAGTCCAGTCAAAACTGCACATGTCCATACTGTCAGCAAAACCACACATGTCCTAATTAAAAATAACTATTTTACATTCCTTATCAAATAAAAAAGTAATTACAACTGTATTCAAATCAATGTGCACGTAAGTATATACTTACTGACATTTTCGTCAAATAAAAATTACTTTCCATAATGCAAACAGTTTTTGTAACATATTTCAAAACTACTTTAAGTGGACATGTGTAGTTTTGTGTGGACGCTCCTCAACTATATGATGTCCACACATATATGATGTTTTAATTTGCCAAGTATTTAACATAGGTATAAGCAAAGGGCACCCTAAGGCATTTTAAGCACAATCTTTTAAGTCCTGTCCGTTCAATCTTGTTTACTAGCATTTTCCATTCTCTTATGTTTATAGCAATTTTAGTTTCTTTGACGGCGCAGTGCTGAGCTCCTGAGCAATGTTTATGCGACAGTTCTTCTTGTCAAAATTTAGTAATTTCGTACAAACTTGACTGTCACACATTTCATTCCAAAACATCGGACGACATTACAAAACATGAGTCAACCAATATGTTGACGCCCTCAGAAATTTCTATAATGACTAACGGCAATATAAACGATTTGACGATTTTTCATAACAATTTTTGTCACTTCTTTAACATTTTAGTCAGTTGTTGACATGCTGGAGTGTCCAGAGCACGCATTGTCGTTAACGTCTTCTCATAAAATTCTACAATCAACATTTTAAGTGTGTTGGAATATCCAATTTTATTTTTCACACACAACTTAATACAGATTTTTTGATACAGTTTTTTCGATAGCACAAATCTCCAAGCACACCAAATCACGCTTAACTTACTGCAGTCACGTGGGTATCTATATTTTTTTATAGTTTAAGAATTAATTAAAGACAGTACAAAACGTTTATTTTCAAACAACATAAAACAACAAAATTCTTTTCGAGTCAATAGTAAAACACTTATAATATCAGTTCTTAATATTATTGAATTTTTTCTGGGTCTCATCTGTCCACGTCCATGGAAATATTCCTCTTTTCGCATATTCGTATTCGGTAAGAATGTTTAGTAATAGGATTAGGCTTAGGGAAAAGCAGATTACAGCGCAGAATGTGTATATTTCGTGCATTTTCCCATTCTGTGTCCATATATTGTACTTGTCTTCTATTGATGCGCTTATTGACTTAAATCTATATATTATTTGTTCCCTAAAACAGAAGAAATATATCAATAATTTATATTAAATTTATATTAGGTATTAAAATTAAGTTTTTCAAGCGGTATGGATCAATAGAATGTATCAATGAAATGACTAACGCCGAGAGGCGTACTCCAATCGCTTAGCGTACTACTCATTCATCCGTATTCTATTTCGCCGTATATTATAATCGCAGATTTATTTTGAATTTTAACATAGATACCATTTTTTGTATCTCTTTCCCGCGTCGGTATAATTTAGTTTTTAATGCCTAATTAAATCAATAATAATTTTACTAAAAAAATAAGAGGACTCGCAGGTAGAAAAAGCAAACTGCGAATAAAGACGAAAATAAGACGGATAAACAGCATCATACTTCCATTTAACTGGGAATAAGCCACAATTAAAGATAAAAATACGTTTATTGACGTTTCAATTTCCATTTCGGAAATCGTTCTCAAAATACAAACAGTAAATTAAACAAATTATGTTTAATTTTACTGTTTGTATTTTGAGAACGATTTCCGAAGTGGAAATCGTTCTCAAAATACAAACAGTAAATTAAACAAATTTTGTTTTTTGTTACATAGTGAAAAATTCTTCTAATAATTTAATTTTATCTGACTCATTTATATTGACAATTCAGACATACATTATGCATTTTAAAGTAGACGACTTTAAAATGATATTGCCAATATTGTTGAGTTGCGCTCCTGGGACGACTTTACTTATAAGATAGTTCATTCGATTACATGAAATCAACTTTAACTTGAGAATATCCGTCAGAAAAAATCAGAGCATATAATTCGTCTTTAAAAAGACGAACACATGACATGATGACAGTAAAATTCTCCTGTTAGTGATTCCATAGTAAATTATGAGGGAAAAACCAAGAAAAAAACCTCATAATACTATCCCGACATGGTAAGTATTTGTTCGTGCATTTAGTTTACCTTCAATAAACACCAAAATTCTGATTTTATATGTTTCGTTATTTAAAAAACATAAATGATGTATCCTCTATATGTTACTGACTTACTAATACTGGTATTTTCTTATTAATAACTTCCTCTTTCAATATTGGTAACCAGATCCTACTATATTCTGCCGAGGAATTTGCGACACAATTGGCCTCATTTAGCATAATTAAAGCCGCTTCTTTGATTTTTCTTTTTTTACCATCCGTCTCTTTTAGGACTACATTTGAATTATTCCATTGGACCCTATGTTCATTATCCCATGCGTGTTTACATATTTGAGATCTATCAAATTCTCTATTTTTAATATAAGATTGATGTTCAATTATTCTAACATTTAATGGTCTTGATGTTTCACCTAAATAAAACTGATCGCATTCACAAGGTATTTTATAAATGCAATTCTTTGTCCTTTCTTGTTCATTGTTAGGTTTTGTTTTGGACAAAATAGATCTCAACGTGTTTGTTGTTTAGAATGTTGTTAAAATGTTGAATTTATTGCCTATACTTTTAAGTTTTTCTGATAATCCTTTTATGTACGGTATTGTTATTTTCCTCATATACTTATAAGTAAAGTCATCCCAGGAGCGCAACTCAACAATATTGGCAATATCATTTTAAAGTCGTCTACTTTAAAATGCATAATGTATGTCTGAATTGTCAATATAAATGAGTCAGATAAAATTAAATTATTAGAAGAATTTTTCACGATGTAACAAAAAACAAAATTTGTTTAATTTACTGTTTGCATTTTGAGAATGATTTCCGAAGTGGAATTGAAACGTCAATAAACGTATTTTTATCTTTAATTGTAGCTTATTCCCAGTTAAATAGTAATTAATTTAAAATGCCACAAGAAAATAACTTCAGGACAATCATACTTCCAATAATCACATATGCATCTCTCGCATGGGGGAACATAAGCAATTCAAATAAAAAGAATATACAAGCAGCCTACAATAACATCCTCAGAGAAGCTGCAAATGTACACAGATATGTCGCTGAATGCTTTCTGTTTAGAGAATTGCAACAAGTAAGGATGATCTTGCCGATCCTGCGAGGGGTAATAAGATATGATGCGTTTCATCTATGGAAGCACAAAAGACCAAAAAAGCAAATCCTGGCAAACACATAAAGTCTAGATCATTCGTAGCTCTACCAACAAAAGAAACCCCAGCACGCAGCACTTGAAAATTTAATAATTCATGTTTATTTTCAGGACAACCTTAAAAAAATAATAAATAAACAAAGGCTTCGGTCACCAAAAAAGTTAAAAAATATTAACAAAAAGGCGACGACCGTCCAAAAAATTAACAAAACCCTAAAACCTGGGCACGAAGGGCCCACATCCTCGGGTACTGAGTCACCGAACTGGGCGCAGCCTGGAGCGGAGACTCGAGGCACGAGCAAGTAGTTTCAGTTCGATGATACGTCACTAGAGAAAGCAGGAATTGCGCGCCTCACGCTAGACTGCATTGGTCGGATTAGGATATCGTATTGGAGTTCTTGAAACAAGGGATGTCCTGGAGCATTGGAGCGCGGTGAAGTGGTTCCTGATAACACACGAATCAATACACCTCGCTCCAATGAATTGTAACACCCGAATGTCATTATTGTGCAATTTTTGTAATAAGATTTTTAGAGCTGTTAATTAAGGTTGTAATTTATACCTAATGTACTAATTTTGCTATTGAAAATGTACCTTAATGGAAGTTTAGAAACGTCAATATCCTTTGCAGGTTCTTCCTCGGGACTAGATACATTTGGCGTTGAAAAATTGGTTTCTTCACTTTCTACATCTGACGTTTTCTCGCTTTCATTTGATGTTTCCGCATATCCTTCTTTAATTTTGACTAGCTCTCCACCCAATCTAAAAAGTAAAGAATATTTGTGTTAGTATAATTAAAGTAAAATATATTTTATTGCCCAAAGAAAACAAAAGAACACCAATAAGCAAAACAAAATTCAAATATAACGATGATACATCTACATACATTTTTCAGTTTTATGTCTTCATTATCTAGCTGTCTGTTTAACCTATGGTTTTCTTGCTGAATTGCTATTTTTAAAAATGTTAAAAATATTATTTGCCTTTTTCAATCATTCCAAGTCATTTCTTGATCCTTCAACCATATCGTTTCTAGTTAAGGTCATCATAATAGTTACCTGAATTTTAGATACAGTTGCATATATATCTCTATATTTCTTTTTTCCAAAATATATCCTTGAATAATATTTTGTAAATGGTATTATATATTGCACCCGAAGACAAGAAAAAGAGCTACGGTACACCTAAATGTCCCGTATTTACGTTGGGTTGAGACACTTTTGTCACATCTCGCCTAGTGCGTCTTCCCCTTTCCACGACAGTTTTACTCGCCTGTTCTGCAGGCGGCTATCCAACCCCGACAGGAGATTTTTCTATGCTGTGACCCAAGTCCGACAAGTCAGTGTGGCTGTGAGTGTTTGTCTTAGCGTCAAAGCGTCAGTGCAAGTTTAAGGAGGAATACTCCAAAGAATGGATGTACAATAACAAGGAACGCTATGACAATGAAGCAGAGTGCACAGTTTGTAATACGGTTTACTGTTTTTAGCATTGTTCATGGTGGATTTTCAAGTATAAAACAACCCATCGTCTCAGTGAAACATACGAACAATACAAACAATACGAGTACCCCAAGTACCAGTAAGTCTCTTAAAAATTATTTTATATAACACGATTCAAATGAAGAAATGAAAGTTAGAGGTGCTGTGCTAACTCAGGGCTTTCATACGATCAACCACCATCACTGCTTCATGTTTTACTTACTCATTGCATTTAAGTTTAGCTCTGCCAGAACAAAGCACTCAGCTCTGATAACTGGTGTTTTAGCTTCATTCAACGTGAAAATTAGTATTGAAGAGATGAATAAATCCCCTTTTTATGAGATTTTAACTGATCGTAAGGCTGTAAAAATATTTCCTTTTGTGGATCAGTTTTTTGATATAAATGAAAAGATACAGTTAAAACTATTAAAAGTTGCTTCTTTTTCATGTGAAACATGAGATAAGATATCTAGTTTATGCTTAAATTGTGTTGATGAGTTTAAGTAAAATAAAACCATTTGCTGTGCGTTTTGTGGTTATAATACAAACACAAATTTTGGTGGTTTAAACACAGCGGGACAAATCAACCAGGTTCATAAAAATTACATTACAGGATGCTATTACATAACTCTATTATCCTATTTTTCTATATACATTGTGCAAATAGAGAGGCTAAAAGAATTTTGAGAAATGGTCGACATTTAATATGGCACTATTTTAACACATTCGTTGGCTTTCTTAGATGCCCGCAAAAACTGTTTGATGCTTTGAAGGATCTCTTTTTAAACGAGAAGAAAGCTCCAAACTTTGTTAACATTTTTTAATAATACTAAGGCACCTATTAATTGTCCATAGCAAATTCAATATTTTTCAGCAAGCTCTTACAGCTTTGACTAAAAGAAAAGAGGAACTTCGAAAAAAAAAATTAACTTCGGAACTGTAGTTAAATTTTATAAAACCTGCATACAGTATCTTTAAAGATGGAGTAAACAGTTCTCTACCTTCTCAAAATTTAAATGGATGCTTTTGAAGCAGATCCCCAGTTGGAAACAAATTAAAGAAATTGTTACTTCAACGAAAAAATCATTGACATAAATGATACTTTGCTCTTTGATCAACTGTCACCGCTTGTGGTTTTTGTTAGTGAAAACATTAAAGAATGGACTGATGAAGATAAAAAACCACATTAGTTTCACGAAAAATGGGTTATTTTTAATCGCATACAAGGTCAGAAAGCACTCTGAATTTTTGAAGATATGGCAGTATCTGTTTGCCCTGTGTGTAAGATATTCCGTGTCCTCATTATAATGGTAATACTGAAAGAATTATTAGTTGTAGTACATACCCCTTCTACAATATTGTAGGTACTTTATAATTTAAAAATGTACCTTTCCAGTTCTTACAACTGTATATTGGATAATGAAAGTCATAGACGAGATGAATTCTAATAACTAGATCTCACAAAGCAGTTGTCAGCTCTCAGCTTTCTCACTCAGAGGGTAGTCAGATATTGCGAGAAAACTGAGCAGTGGTAGATGCCAGTTTAAAAACTGAACATACGCAAGAGCTCGATGGCTATGTCTCAAACAGTAGTCAGCAGAGTGGTACTTGCAAAAAGGTGTCTGTGCAGTGATGAGAAGGGTAATGGCAAACCACCTCTGGATACCAAAATCTTGGAACATGAAGAATGTAAGAAGCATGTACGAATCCGGAAAAGAAACTATCAAGTTTATTTTTAAAGATGTTAACACTAGTTTCCGATATGGTGAATTGATATAAATTGTTCCAGATATTAAATATTCTGTTTGGCAAGAAGTTCACTATGGACCTTGCAGTTAGGCTTCTTTTGGCTTGATTTAAAGTAAATATGGTGTTTAGGTTCCCAAAATTATATTTTAAAATACGGAAGGATATAATTAGGTCATCTCTTAGTCTATCTTCATAATTAGGTAGTACACGGCCGTATGCCAGTCTCGTGGCTTTACACTGAACATTTTCAAGTATAATTTTATCGCGATTTAGATCTGGACTCCACATTGGCCCGGTAAACTCAAGAATAGGTCTGTCGTATATTGAGTAAAGTTTGTTAACAGAGGTTAGAGATAGATATACAAGTAAAATGTTTACGGATCAAAAACAGTTTCGAGTTTGCATGTTTACACACCGAAACTATCAGACCAATTTAAGTCACTATTAATTATCACTCCGAGATCGTTGTGGGAGATTACCGGCTTTAAGGGATGTCTGTTAATAAAGTACGGAAGTGATGGGTTATTTTTTCCGATATGTAGAACAACGCATTTTTCAATATTATGCCAAAGTAACCATTCTGAGCACCATTTGAATATTGCGTAAAGATCGTGTTGAAGAATATGTTGGTTAATAATTACATTCACATATAATTTCGTATCATCAGCGTAAATGGAAACCTTACTGCATACAATGAGCAGAAGATCACTTGTGTAGATACATAAAATTAACGGTCCAATTATCGATTCTTGCGGGACTCTACACTTGACTGGTTTATGTAGTGAGTAGTCTTCCCCAACACGAAGCCTGAAGTATTTGTCGGATAAAAAATCTTGAATCCAAATGTTTAATTTTTCCCGAATACCATAATGATCCAATTTAGCTAGTAATCGACGTTTTGGAACACGGTCGAAAGCTTTGGAGAAGTCTAAGTAGACTACATTAACAGGATGCCGTTTGTTTAAAGATGATGACCAATTATTTACACAATAAAGTAAGTTTGTGATCGTTGAACGACGTTTGATAAAGCCATGCTGTTGGTGAGGGATGACATTTTCTTGAAGGAGAAACTCAGACATAGGTTGCGAAATAATTGATTCTATGATCTTGCCTACAATTAACCAGGCTGATTGGATGATAATTAGTTCATCGAGCTCTTGAATATGTTCAGTTTTGAAACTCATCCGTCATTGCTCAGTTTTCTCGACATATCTGACCACCCTCAGAGTGAGGAAGGTGAGAGCTGACAACTGCATTGTGAAGTCTAGTTATTAGACATAATTATTCAGTTTGCTTCACCTAAATATAATCACTTTAAATAGTCATAAAGCAGACAAGTCAAAAAGAATGAAAAACATTTTGTTAGTATTAAGGAGCACAGAACTTCTGCCATAAAATAATGTAGAACAAGCAGTAAATTTAAGGTACCTACCACACCAGCTAAAGCAGAAAGAAAATAAGCAAAGGAACACCAAAACACAGAAGCAAATTTTAAAACTTACTCTAATCTAGTTGGTCTTCTACAAAGAACTCCAGTTCTTAAATTTAAATCTGAAGTTCTTCTAGTAATTTTCTTAGTTTCAATTATGGTCCTATTTGGATTATTTTCGTTGGGTGGTTGGGCAAACGTTGCAATACTGGCACGCCTTTTACTAATTATTTTTAAACCTGGAGATGTTGGTGATGCCAGTTGATGGTTATTTGCTGGGAGGGAATTGATTCCTCTAGTAGGAGAGTCTGCTGAATTTTGCAGAACTCTTCTGAAGCAAAAAGTATTTCGTTAAGATTGGATATCAGTAAATTTCACTCTTTAATGATTCTAAAAGTGGAGACTAGATTCATCAGAATATTATTTAGGTATTGTGGTTGCAAAAATTTGAAATAGAAAAATAATAGTAGAAAAAATGTGTAATCAAATAGTATGTGAAGATTGTATTATCATGTGATATTGAATCGAAAAGATCCTTATATTCCTTTTCTCTTGTTGGCGTTCCAACCAGCTCGTTTTATTTCTAATAGTCGAATTACAAGTTTTCTAGTCTATAATAATCTTATGTTCATAGTATATATTATATTTCTTCTTTACAGATCTTATCTGATAACTTTTGACACATCGTTACGCCTGTTCGCTAAAAAGGGCATATAAACGAAGGCTTAATTATCAACATTTTTGTTAATTTTATTTATCTAGATTTTTAATACACATATTTCTTAACAAATCTATAACTTCATTTTTTTCATTATCTTATTCTAACTATTTTTTGTCACCGTTTTTAGCCACTTTTTTTATCGCTTCCACACTTGTACCATTTTATCGTTTTCACTAACTTTTAACCTCATTCATAGTCCATTATGCTCATCCAAGTACCTTCATGATTATGATTACGATTCAAATTACCTGGAAACTATTTGTATAGCTATTTTCTACTAACCTTTTTAGTACAAGATCAGTTTCTTTGTAACTGATAAAGTAAAAAAAGATAAAGATAAAGTACAGTACTTAGCTAGAAGTCGTTAAATGATTAACATTATTTAAGAACTATTAAACATAATAACAGATTAAACAAAGGGAATAAAAAATGTACCATTCAAGAAAAACCAGATTAAAATAGAAAAAAAGGGAAGAGTTATAATAATCCATAATTCAAAAAATACTAAACAAAACCCGATGCTTAAAAAGACCACATATTGTAAAAAATAAAGAAACAAGGTAATATTATACTTTATATGCATTAGTTTAAATAATTTCAAAACTTACTTGGTATATTGCAACTGTCTTCTCGTAGCGTCTCTCTGTTGTTTCAACATTTGTACATGGCTGACCATAAGACCTACTGATTCTGTTAAACGTTCCTCGTGTTGAACTGATCCAAATCTTTCTGCTGACATTGAAGCTAATGAGGCGGCATTCATTATTATATCTAACTGAAATGATACTATTTTAAAAATGTTATATTTATTATAATGTATATTATATAGAAATAATACGGATACCATTTATTATATAGGTAATTAATATTTGACAGTTATAGCTAGTTCCTATCCGGCTCAAAGGACCAATTTAGACAATTATCTAAAATATTATTTGTGTTACTTTTTTTTCATCTAAAAAGAAATCATAATTTATTTACTACTCAAAAATTAATATGAGAGCGTATTATACTTAAAAAATAATAATTAAATAGGCTAAGGCTAATATTAAGGATGTCTTACTTTTTCATTTAATTTGCGTTTTATCTCAGATATTCTGAATTTTGTTAGGTAATGTATTTTGACTAAGATTTACTCTGATATAGGAATTAGTCTCTATAGTGTAGAAAAAAGACTGTACGGTCATCAAAAAACAATAATTCTGCCGGTGAAGACGGCATAACGGAGTGTTTTATTTAGCGTCACTCGGAGATATTTGGGAAATGAATAATGTGACAATGTATTTCCATATCATTGCACGTTAAGGTTTTGAGTAGATTTCCTTTTGTTGGTGTGGAAGGGGGGTTATTTGTATTTTTTGTGAATTTAGGTGAAGCTGATTTTCCCTGTAGTATGTTGAAAACGATTCAAGCTCATCCGTAAGATGTTCTTCTATGTCCAGAAGACTCCTAGATTAATAGGCGGTCGCACAATTATCAGCATAAATAAATGTTTTTTGACGCATTACAGATTAGTTGGTAATTGGTGTATATATTGAAGAGTACTGGCGAGACTCCTTCTCCTTGTGGTAGTCAGTTTTTTTGTGCACATCTACTTATTTTCTCCTAAAACTCAACACAGAAATATCGGTTAGTCAGAATTGATCGTCGGACTTAAAATATTTTGTAGTTTTTTGTTATTTTGTAAATTTTGTTCAGGAGTATTCGATAATTAACAGTATCATATTCGGTCGTTAGATCAATGAATATGACTTCGGTCTTTAATCCGTTTTGGTATCCGTTCTCGATGTATTGGGTAAAATTAAGTATTTTTCAAAGCCTGCCTGTTTCTCTATAAGTTTTTAAGTTCTGCACTGGCGATGTCCAGTTCGTCCATTTTAAATTCGGGGTCGAATTCATCAGGTTCCAGGAATTGACCTCTCTTTATAAACTTCTTGAGGTGTTTTTGCCCTTTACATGGGTTGCCTTTCTGTAGAAGTTATGTAGCTATCTGATTTGAAGTTACATTGACCTGGATGAATTACACTTTTTTGTCTACGGACAGATTCATATTAGTGTTTTCAACTGTCTGTATCCCTGCCTGGCGTCTAGTTTCTAATAAGTTTTCGCTTGCTACGATCGTCGTTGGAAATAGGAGGTTCTCACCATAGTTTTCGTACAGTTTGCAATTTTTATCAGTCATTCCAATGATATAGTTGGTTCTACATCCACTTAGGATAGCTTTTCTTGACGTCAGTTTGACAGCCTTCACAAATGCGTTATAATTTGTAGGATCTGTGCTGAGAATTTGAAATTGAGTTATGGACTCTTTTGACGCACAATTTACTAATACCATTACTAGCAAAGATTAAGTCTGGGTTATATCCTCCTTTCTATCTTACATAATTAAAAGAAATCCGTTCTTTTCAGCTCAGCTTTCCACGCTTTCTCCATAATAACTCCAGGATGTGCTATGGCTATTGAAGTCACCAATAATAATTGGAAGTTTATCAACTAGTGAGTGTTAAAGGAGAACTTTTGGTTTGGTGTTTTATATATGGAGAATATATTGGTTTTAGTGAACCACACATTTGGTCTAACAAATATGGTACTATCATTTTGGTTGTGTTTAATGTCTCTCAGTACCTCCATACCTCCAATTTTTACTTTTGGGTTAGCAGGCCCATTGTGTGTCTCTTGAAGGCACGTGATGTCGCATTAGTGATCTTCGCACAAAGATGCAATGAGTATTTGTTTTGCTGGAGATAGTCCTCCCACAACGAAATAATTATCATTATTGTTCATAGTCTTGGTAGTTCATTCTTTAGCAGAATTCGAATATTATCCGTTACATTTTGTTTAATTAACACCAGGGAAATTTTAACACCAAAGGAAAAGAAAACCAAAAATTGCTTTTAATAAATTATACTGTCAAAATAAATAACCAAAAGGCTCTAAAAATTAAGTAAATAATTGGTTTTATATGGAAATTAGATGAAGATATCTTTGTAAAAATTTACATTTTTAAATTAAACACACTCTAGTGATTAATCTTACGATAAATAATCAATAAAAATATGTTATTATAATATTAACAATAGATGGTTTTCCCTCAAATACTAAATCATAATGCAAAATTATTACGGTATAGTGCAGTATTTTTTTCTAAGCTGTTGGAAGGGGGAAATTTCTAGGATCATTTGAATATTCCTTGTATTATATGTTGGGAGCGGTCCAAAACATCGGTTTAAAGACGGATTATCCTACAATCATGAAATCTTCCAAGGATGGGACTAGACTCTAAAGCTGTTTATTATAAACTCGAATATCAAAGCGCTATCATTATTATCAATTGGCCCATAAATTTGTCCAGTGCTGAACTTAAGTCTGAATGCGTACATATCGCTGTATCTTGTACAAATTGCCTCCAGTTTATGTGTAAGCGTCGCAAATCGCCGGTCCAACTTGTTCGAAGATTTTCTCTATTTCTAAAGACATTTTCTCTGGGTCTTCACTCGATAATTCTTTTAGTCCATCTATTATCGTTCATTCTCGCGACCCGCACTGCCCGATCTACGGTAGGTTAGTTAGTCGTTCTTATCTTGTACTCTGGTTGTTCGTTGGATTTCTAAATTTGGAATCCGATTTCTCGAAGATGAACGTATCTTATTGACTGCTCTTTTTGTCAAGTTAAGAGTTTCTGCACTGTATATGAGGACAACAAAAAGCAACATTACACCTCGAAAATTAACTGTCCGAGATTTTTACAATCAGAAACAGACTTGCTCAATGTTAATTTCATCTAATTCAAGTTTGCATCTCATTGGTTCTTTACTGGTTACTACTGTTCTAGTTTTCTGAGTTGAAATCGTCATGTTAAATCATTTTGCTCTTATATTAAATCTGTAAACTAGTCTTTGAAGGGCACGGTGGAGAGCAGCTCACCAAGGTGATGCGAGAAATTGTTTGTAGAATTTGGTCTGAGGAGCAAATGCCTGAAGAATGAAGCTTAGGCTTAATTTGCCCGTTACACAAAAAGGGAAACCAACTGAAATGCAGTAATTACCGCGGAATAACTCTCCTAAATACATCATACAAGATATTGTCAAACATTTGGCACGGGAGATTAAAGCCTTATACCGAAATGTTTCTAGGAGAATATCAGGCAGGATTCAAGCGTGGCCGTTCAACCATTAAGCAGATATTTACACTACGACAGATCCTCCAAAAAGCGCAAGAGTTTAACATATATATGTATCATATTTTTGTCGATTTTAAAGCGGCATATGACAGTGTCTTAAGACCAACTCTTTTCAACGCTATGAATGAGTTAGGAATTCAAAAAAAACTCATATGTTTGATAAAAGTGACAATGGCGAAGATGCTATCAGCAGTAAAAATTCAAAACGACCCGTCAACCCCATTTGAAGTGCATAGGGGGTTAAGGCAGGGTGATGCGCTGGCGTGTCAGCTTTTTAATGTCGCCTTAGAAAAAGTTGTACGAGACGCTAATTTAGATAGCAGGGGAACAATATTTAATAGATCAGTCCAAATTCTAGCATATGCAGACGACGTGGACATTATAACAAGAACCAGGGCGAGAACTGCGGAAATCCTAACCGAGCTACTAGCAGCAGCAGAACTAATGGGGTTACATAAAAATCAAAATAAAACCAAATTCATGGCGACTAACACGAACACAAGAGCTGGAAATGTTGACGCAAATTTAATCATCAATGATTAAAACTTCGAAGCAGTCAAAGAGTTCGTATATCTAGGGACATCGGTTAACCCCAATAATAACACATCTGAGCAAATAAAAAGGCGAATAATAATTGCAAACAGCTGTTATCATGGTCTATCAAAGTACTTAGCGAACAAACGTCTGTCTCAAAAAACTTGTATTAGGCTGTATAGAACACTGATAGTCCCCGTTCTCACATATGGATCAGACGCATGGACGCTAACTAAAACAGATGAATCCGCTCTATCGATTTTTGAAAGAAAGGTGCTACGCAAGATATTCGGAGCGGTCTGTGAGAACGGAATATGGAGACGTAGATATAACTTTAAACTGCAGAAAATCTACAAGCATACGTTTGGTGGTAAAGATATTACCACTATCTTCTTCTCTTCTTCTTCGCGTGCCATATCAGAACTATCCGACGTTGGCGATCACTATTGCGAAGGCTTCTCGATCTTCTGCAATATACCACTATAATTAAGCGAAACCGCCTGCAGTGGACAGGACATGTAGCCCGGGCCTCTGAATCGAACATGATAAAAAATATCCTAACAGCGCAACCCGTGGGAAAGAGAAGACAGGGTAGACCAAAGCTGAGGTGGATGGATGGTGTAACACAAGATGCGGAGAAGATCGGATTCGGCAACTGGAAAATGCAAGCAAGGGACAGAACAGAATGGCGTAGAAAGCTTGAGAAGATCGAGGCCCTCTAAGGGCTGTAGCACCAAGATGATGATGAAGTCTTTGAAGGCTGTCTTTATTTTGGGCTATCAAAATTGCATCGTTTGCCTAACACAGAATTTTAATTTCATTGTTGAAATTGATAACATGACTTCATCTATGATTAGATTGAATAGCATAGGGCTTAGTGAATCCCCCTCCTTTTCTTCCCGCCCCCCTCTTATCGGAAATGGATACTTGCCTGTATCAATAGGTTCCGTAAGTTGTCCATCTATTCTGTGTTCCATTTTATTGTTTTGGTAGACGTTTTCAATTGTTTTTATAATATCTAACTTAAATAATATATTATGTAAGTCTTACTCTATCAAATGCCTTCTTTAAGTCGACTAAACATCACAGGAATGCAGGTCTATTGTATTCTAATGCTTTCTCTGTAATCTGTTTTATGACCGGTTTTCGACCTTCCCATACGGAAACCTTGTTGCGCATCTGCTAAGATTATAAGCTGATTTATTCGTTATAGCAACGTTTTAGTTGCTAGCTTCAGGCTAGTATTTAGCCAATTGATACTTCTGTAGTTTTCTGGTTTATAATCTTCTTAATTTATGGTGTCAGATGATCTTTTAGCTGCTCCACCATACTTCAACATTCATTCTTTAGTTTTTCAAACGTGTTTCGTACTTCATGCTTGCCTATGTGAACTTCTTGGTTTATGATAATTTTAATGTTACTTCTTTAGTGTTCCGTTATATATATATATATATATATATATATATATATATATATATTATATATATATATATATATATATTTATATATATATATTATATATATATATATATATATATATATATATATATATATAAGGCGGGGGAATCTTACAGTAGATGTCACCAAACGCTTAGAGGCATTCGAAATGTGACACATGTTCTAGTATTTATACACCATATAACTAAAATCACAATTATCTAATGGCGCACGAAAGACAAAGGTACTTAATTCTATAAGGAAAAATTGCGTGTAAACGAGGCCCAATCTTAGAAAATGAACTGGTCTATGAACTGAGCTATTACCAGCTACACTGAATAACGAATAACATAAAATGGTAAACGTAGTCCCAAATATCGATTTTGCTTAGGACATGTAAGAATATTTGGTTTCAGTATTTCTCGCATATTACTAAAGGCAATCTAGAGTCTCCGTATTATTTGAGTTAAAACCGTAGTTTAAGGATAACCCTGAAAATGTTCGAAAATAACTCCAAAACAAAATTTTTAGCTGCGATTCCTTTGGTGTTTTAATTACTCTGAATGATCATAAAATGGTCTTAGAAGAAAAGTTTTAGTATTTATATAAATACCTGAGTCATAATTGTGGAAAATATTTCGGCGGTTTCATAATCTTTGCACAGTGGTTGCATGAAAGTAAGTTTTTCTCTAAGCTTGTCGATTTCCTTATTAAGATTGTTTTCAGTTTGGTCTCTAGAACGTCGTTGCCTCTCGCATCTATCCTTAATTGTAGTAGCGTCTATCGTGAATGCTAAGGCAAGGCTGGTAAACTTTTGTTCTAGTTCTTCTTCGTTCATATGCTCCCTAAAAGAAAAATATAATCAAATAGTTTTGTAGCAAGAGCTTATTTAAACAAAAATGATAAAGCAGTTTTTTAGTAACTATAAATGATTAAATTGCGAAGGGGGAGAAATATAAATTACCTAGAATGATTGTGCAAGGTAATTTACAAAAAAGGAGAAAGAAAAATAGTGGTTTGCTTCCTTGAATCAACCGATGCCACCATTATTATCTATTCTGCCCTCTCATTTAGGTCTCTTATTTCTGTCTTACCAAGATTTACTTCTAGTTCTCGTTTTGAATACAGTTTCTAGTTTCAGTTTTGAAAAAAAACCGTTAAATATTCTTCCTGTTAAGCAGTCACAACTTGATCATTTACGGCGTTGATAAGGAGCTGTGTATGACTTGTATTTTCATACCTCTATATGGCCCTTTTCATAGTTTTACAATTTGTTCCAGAAATATTTTGAACAGAAACTCATTTTTTATAAATTAAAGTAATCACTTTTGGCATTTCATCTGGTATTTATTTCCGGTTTATAAGAGTTTTGAACATTTGATGTATGATTTTAAATAGTTTTTCCTTCCATATTTAATTATCTTACTTACTATTCCTCATGGTGTCGCCGATTTATTGTTTTTTTTTATAGTTTTTATGGCTTTTTTCACTTCGCTTCATCTTAGCTTAATCTCTTCTTCATCTTGATTTTGTTATTGCTGGTCTTCTATGCCTGTTTATATTGTATTTGGGCTTTTTCGTTGGTATTGCTTCTTAAGATTTCAATATTTTCCCGGAATAAGATTTTAATGTTAAATTATGTGAACTTGATTAATATATTGCTGATAATGATACAGTAGAAAACAATAACATGGAGAAAAGCTAGGAAAACTCATAAATAGTAACATATATGCTGCAACAGAAGTATTTTGAGAGGCAAAAGTAATTAAGAATAACATATCAAAAACAAAAAGCGAAAGTTAAGATAAAATATGAAGACAAGAAGATAGTGTTTTTATAATATAGAACACAACTAGGCTTACAGCCACTATTAACGAATCAGAAATGAAAGGAATACTTTAGTTACACAAATAATAAGGGAACACTGTGTAGCGTTTACGCTACTGACTAGTCCAACTAAAACCCCTCACGAAATTTCTTATAACCCGCCTGCGATCGATTTTTAAATCGACATTTCTCCACTCACGCGCTGGGAGCGCTTTGAAAGGATTGATCGATTTTGTGCGGAAGCAAAGCAGTCAGTTTGGTCAAGAGACTCATACGCAGCCACGTCAATCAATTCAAAGTGACGGAATTGGAGCAATAAAATAATCTGGGACGAATAAAATAATATCTAATTCAATAATCATATCTCAGTAATAATAATAATAATAAGTAAATTTTAAAAATCAAGATTTTCTAATCTGAGTTCCACATAAAAAGATATTTTTTTTGGCGTGGGTGCGTGTTCCAAGTAAGTACATCATTTCATACGTATTATCTCCTTAGCATACAATAAAATTTATCATTGCAGTTTAGTATTTCTTTAGAGATTTATTTTTGAGTTCCGAAATAATTTAAATATAAAATTTCCTTGATTTACTTGCAAAGAACAGAAGGTCATTTTTTATATAGTTAAACTTAAATTCTGTTTTAGTCCATGTCGTTATCATTAAGTTTTTTTCGGTTCCCATTTTATCTAACTTTTTTTTGGTGGAATATAAAAGGTTCTACAAATGTGGTACAGCCTTCTGTATTCTGCGCATGTTCTTTTCATGGCGCAAGCCTGCCATGTCTACCAAAGTAACTGCGCAAATTTTGACATGATGTTGATCTAACCTGATGTTTTTATTTTGGTGCAGTCAATCTATGCTGCTACAAGTATTAAATAAAATAGTAAATAAATCTAATAATTAATCCTTTTAGATTCCGTCACTTGACAATATTCATTTAAGAATATTCACTGGAAAATATTCATTAGTAATAGAATTTCTTGAATAGTTAGCAACTTGTCTATGGAGTTACCGATTTCTCTGATCAGATAGACCAGTGCCTGGTTTTTACTACCTTGACTAGTAATAACTAATGACTCCGGGAGTATTGGATTTTAGGAAGAGTAGAACTTACAATTTCAGAAGAACTGAAAGAGAAGTGATGAAAAAATACTAAAAATATGGCTAAGCTCAGAGGAACAAATTTAAATGGCCAAAGAGACACTAAATCTCAAGTGAGTGTTCCGGCTAGCTTCAATGCACTGAATTGTGGCTTTAAAGATATAAAGCAGATAGCAAGGATAATGAGCCAATGAGACAAGAAACGAAATAAGACCTATTAATATCAAATGTGATACAACTAAAGAAGGTCACTGGGAATAAATTTATAGAAAAAAGGGACGATAAGAAGAGAGGAAGAAGGGCGCCAACTCAACGATAGTTGAGATTTTGAAGTAACAAATGACTGGAAACAAATGATACTGGAGATAATAACCTGAAATACAAAATACTAAATACTAATCTTGTCTTGCTATATTATATACTGGTTAGTAGAAACTGAAATAAAACTCAAAATAGTAAAAATAAATATATTTATAAAACGTGCTTATAGATAAATATGTATGAACAATTTACATATAATGCAAAACTAAATAACAGTGGTAGTGGATGGTGTAAATATACAATAGGACCTAATAGCCCCTCAACAAGCGAATAGTCACTACCACTGGCCAAATAAAGTATGAAATATTAGTAAAACCAAGAATAGTCCGTATGGTAGCCAAAGTCTTAACACTAAAGGTTAGTAATTTAAATTTAAATAGTTCGACTAAAATGAGATACAAATTACAATATTGTAAAGATATCAAACTTGATAAATCTATTACAATTATATTATATATTACAAGTGAGTTGTTCCATACTCATTATATCATATTTAAAAAAAAACACATGAAATTTATTTCCCTCCCCCAATATCAAAATTGTATTATCTCAAAATATATTGTATTACAAAAATATTATATCAAAAAATGTGAGTTTGGCCAGACTCTCTATATCCTAGTTAAAAAAAAACCTAATAACCCATGAAATGTATTGTTCCTCCCCAATGTTTTAGAATTAGATTATATCAAAAAAGCATTCACTTTTCATATGCATATGATAAGGTGAATACCTTTGTGATAATCTAATTTTGATATTGGGAGGGAAATAAATTGGGATTTTAAATAGGATTTAAAGAGTCTGACCAAACTCATTTTTTGATATAATATATTTTTTAATACAATACATTTTGATATAATAGAATTTTGATATTGGGAGAGGGAAAATACCTTTCATGTTTTATTAGGTTTTTTTTTAACTAGGATGTAAAGGGTCTGACCAAACTCATTTTTTTTATATAATATATTTTTTTAATACAATACATTTTAATATAATAGAATTTTGATATTGGGGAAGGGAAATAAATTTCATGTGGTTTTTTAAAACATTATATAAAGAGTATTGAAGACTAACTTTTGGATGTAATATATTTAATATAATTGTAACAGATTTATTACTTCTGATATCTTTACAATATTGTAATTTGTATTTCATTTTAGTAGAACTAATTTAAATTTAAATGACTACCTTGTAGTGTTAAGACTTTGGCTATGATACGGACTATTCTTGGTGTTTACTCATATTTCAAACTTTCTTTAACCAGTGGTAGTGACTATTCGCTTGTTGAGGGGCTATTAGGTCCTATTGTATCTTTACACTACCCAATACCACTGTTATTTAGTTTTGCCTTATATGTAAATTGTTCATACATATATATCTATATACACGTTTTATAAATATATTTATTGTTACTATTTTGAGTTTTATTTCAGTTCTACTAACCAGTATATAATATAGCAAAACAAGATTAGTATTTATTATTTTGTATTTCAGGTTCTTATCGCCAGAATCATTTGTAAATAAATTTATTCCCAGTGACCTTCTTTAGTTGTATCACGTTTGATATTACCAGGTCTCATTTCGTTTCTTGTCTCATTAGCTCAGTATCCTTGCTATCTGTTTATATCTTTAAAGCCACAATCCAGTGCATTGAAGCTAGCCCGAACACTCACTTGAGATTTAGTGTCTCTTTGGCCATTTAAATTTGTTCCTCTGAGCTTAGCCATATTTTTAGTATTTTTCATTACTTCTCTTCCAGTTCTTCTGAACTTTGTAAGTTCTACACTTCCAAAAATCCAATACTCCCAGAGTATTGAGGTTTCAACTGGCTGAGCTTCTAAAAACAAATGGAATACAACTTCTACGGAACATAAAAAAATTGAGGATGATCAGAGGACAAAGAACAGAAATAAACGAACCAACAAAAACAAAACACATTCAGAAGGAAATATGTGCAGACTACTTTCGATCCCTATTTGCTAAAAGAGATTATAATGAACCACCAACACTAGAGGTGACGGCAAACGAAGAAATACATATTGAGAAGGAAGAGGTAAAGGGAACATTAAAGAAATAAAAAAACAGAAAATCACCAGGAGAGGACAGAATACCGAACGACCTTCTAAAGTACGGAGGGCCAGATCTGACCAAACAACTACTAAAACTAATCGAAAAAATAATACAACAAAACAGAATTCCTCAAGAATGGTGATCAAGCATCGTAATAGCGGAATATGTAGCGGAACTACGACCTGACACAGAGAGGGCAAAAAGAATGTTAGAAACAGCAGAGATGAAAACACTTAGAAAAATTAATAGTAAAACACTATGGGATAGAGCTAGAAATATAGATATACGATGTAAATGCAAGGTGGAGAACATCAAGGACACAGTAAGAAGAAACAGAAGAGTAGAATGGAACGATCATATAAGCCAAATTACAACAAATAGATTAGTAAAGACGGCAAAAGACGGTTCTCCAAGGAAGACGATCAGTGAGAAGACCACGAAAACGATGGAAAAACAACTTACTGAAAGCACATTGAAACACAGATAGAGTCATGTCTACATAAAAAATAAGAAGAAGAAGAACA